GGGACACCGAATGAGGAGGTTGTGTGAAGCAACAAAGCGTGAGAGATGGAATCTAAGGCTTTTGAAATGACAAGAGAAGTAACGGATAAAGGGATACCGTTCAAGTGTGAATATTTTAGGAAGGAGGGAAATTTCGTGGGTGGTTCAAAGCAGCCAGTCAGATGATAAATCAGGAATCTAGCAAACGAATAAAATTCGATGAAGACGAGTGAAGATCGAGGTTAGGGAAATTGGGTGAAAGTCTTCAGGGCGGAAAGGGCTAGGAAATTTTAGTACAAAGGTTACACGGGACACGTCCATGTAAGACAGCCTACTAGGACAATTTAAAATGAGGTAATGAATCGTGGATCTATTCGATTGTTGACTTACGGTGGGATACGTTTTACTCAGGAGTGCGAAGCCATCCACTGCTCGCAGTGCAAAAGTCATTTCCTCAAACTTGACTGGTTTCACGAGATTCCAGTTAACATTGGCACATTCATGTGGTGCTCATGTAATCTGGGGTTGCGAGAACACGTACTTCCAGAAGTAGTTGAAGTCCGTGGGCACCTCTTCATCCGGCATGAATGCAGTTTGCATCGACCATCGTGTACTGTCGCGGCGGCGTCTTTCCATTGCAGATGGTGGGGACGCTGGATGTGGCCATATTGAAGTTGTCACTGCTGATGGTTTTTGGTGACTGTGGATGCCCATTGTCTGCGCTTACTGGAGCGTCATGTGTGTAGGAAGAAGGTTGAGTTTACTTTTTCCATGTTGTCCTAGAGTGCTCCATTTGCAAGTCTTCAAAAACTGTTCGCAAGGCAGCTGCACGGTGTTCAGTTTTTGATGTGCATTTGGCCAGTGGACCTCTTGATTTCGAGAGATTTTAAAAGATAGCCTGGTCGTCTGCGGTCTCTGTTTCCAGGTACCAGTAGCGGGCTTCGCGTCACTGTCGGTGTTTGATTCATCCAAATCGACAAGTAGTGTGATTCCGTATGGTGAGAAGTATGTTAATGATAGACTGGCAGATGGAGCAGCGGGCTGTCACCATCTTAGTCAAAGTAACAACTGTGTGCTGAAATTCAGCGTGACTATAGAGTCGCCTTGATAGTCAGATGGGAACCGCATCACGAGAGGAGCGGAATCAGACCTGTGAGGTCCAAATGGACTGGTGGGTGGACCTCTTCGACCAGAGGGTAGTGAGAGGAATTTGGCGACTGAGAAGGGGTGATGACGAGGTAGCGCGCTTAACTGGAATAACTGTACAGTTATCGAGGCATTCTCTGGCTCTTCTGACGTTCCAAATTAGATTTCGCAATCGTTTCTTAATGCAGTCATTTGATCAGCACGGAAATCGGATGCGGAGCTGACTGGGCGACTGTGGAAGTTTGGAGACAGTGCCATATCCGTGGCGCACGACAGAAGTGTCTCGGCCTCTAGCACAGACCAATCGAACTGGTGGTTGAATTGCAGCGCCAGGCCATCTGCGTTAAAAGCCTCCGGATGGGCTTAACTGGCTTATTTTTGACCATTTTATTGCATGCTGATCATTTGAACTAAGCCCAGTTGACGACGACAGTAGCAGCCGAAAATCCCGCGGAGGTGGCATGTTCGGTGTCGACCTATGGTTACGCTCGTAAAAAAAAGCGCGGGCATACGTCGCAGTAATGCAGGAGTGCGGTGTCAGTCTTTGAGTTTGATAAATTGTCCTTTCCTGTAAGTCAGTTGACGTGGACGGTTGGTGAGGGGGTGCAACCGTTGATGTTACCATCATGGCATCGGCCGGGGTGCTTGACTGCTAGGTTGATACATTTGGAGTATTTGAGGAAACAAGAGAATTGTGAGTTGAATGAAATGGTAGTAGACGAGCGATTTCGATGACTGGGATAGGAATCGCACAGGCCTAGCCGTACGTAAATGTGCAACAAGAGAAAGCAGATTTGCTGTCCTGGTAATGCAGAACGGGAAGCGTAGGGAGACAGGCCCAGTCCTGCGCCGCGGGCCGTTCATAGGCCCCAATCCGTGGTTGGGGTGATGGCTGGAAGGGGGTTGTGGGTAGATGGGTTTCTGGTAACAAGGTACGGTGCCTCAGGGTTATAGGGACGTTGGAAGATATCGTGTACTTACAGTCTGGTAACTCCCCAGCCGAAAGAGTGTGCGATGCGGAAGAGTCCTGTCGTTAATGGTGAGGTACCGGCTCTTTTGCGTGAAGACCACTGGATGTCCAACCAGTTTGGCCGCGGTGGTCTGGTCCACTTGAGACGCTGCCATCCCCTCTTAAGTGTCACCAGCGTCCTCGTTCCGAATTGCCAATGAAGGCAGAGCAACACATTCTCCAGAGTTCTCTCTCCTGGCTGCAATTCGTCGGCCAGCAGTATAAATTCGGCATCTTTTCCTTCGATCAGAATACGCCGGGAATGACTCTCCTCGAGGTAACGAGGGGGCGGTAGTATTCGGAGTGTGTCCGTCGGTGGTGCACCGTCAGCGTTCTCGCTGAGGTAAAAGATTGCGAGTCGCATTCCGTTCACACAGCAAGTGCTTCGAAATGACCGCTGAAACCGTAACGTAATAGTTTGCCTATGATTACGAGAAACGATTAATGGAGCAGTAGAAATGAAGAAATTCCATCGCAATTATAAGCATTTGCTGCCTGTCTGCCATCGATATATGTCAGCTCATGCATTTGGTGCACGAGCAGGCGGGGTCCTACTGAACAGTTAGCGTTGACATGGGGTCATTCAGTGCCACCCTGAGGGAGCATTGATTATAAATCATTCAGCCTGAAGTAGCATTGAGTATAAATGATTCAGCACGATGGGCGGAAACGGTCCGCATTTGTCATAGGAACAATTTCGGCATAAGTATTTCGAACAAAATGGATCAATCAACTGAGTCGAACGCACTCCTGTAGTCGAACACAGATATTTGCGATCTGCCGTACGTAAATATATCCTGCTCTTCTCCAATCCGGGACTCCCGTACTGCAATGAGCAGACGTACGAGAAATTCAGGCCGGTAATTTCGTCAGCACCGGTGTCAGGCTAATATCATTTGGTTGGCACATCGGTTTGGCTGCCCTTCTAGTAGATTACCGCTATTGTCGATTTACTCCAATTGGGTAGGGTGGTCACGACCTTCAAAATCTGCTCAAAAACGTGGGTAAGTGGTGCGCATAGAGCCTCGAAGCCGTCCTTGGATAGTCCGGATACGAGCGTCCAGACCAGTAGCCCGGAAACGATTGAGGACTGTGAGTGCGTTTCGAACCTTTGTCACCAATACAGCCTTTAGGCTAACAAGCCATGAAAGCGCCTGAATCACCTGGGCAGCAAGAGATCACAAGGAGCAGTGGGACATGCAAACTGACCCCGAGAGTGCTCTTCTCACTGAGTCAGGCTGCGTTCCCTATTGTAAATTTGGGAGCCCCTGATCTCTCTGATTATCTCACTGACGCATGAAATGCTGAGAACATTTGTGTGGATCAGCTGGAAAAGCATGCGAAAAATGCCTACAGCTCCAGCATCCTGTATATCTTTAACCTTTTGGGTCCATTAGGCTTCCTTGTCGGCAAGCACGCGCCGTTTTAGTTCGCACCTAACAGTCCGCTTGGTTACACTGTATTCAAAGCCAACAGGGAGCTTTCTTCCGGACTCCAGCAGGTCCACAGACCTTTCGGATATTCAGTGCGTGATGCGGTGACGATTGATAGTACCACAAGCAGACTGTAATGAGGAGGACGGTTATCTTTAGAGCAGAAAGAGAAGGCAACCAATCACCACAACTGCTGGTAAATCAGAATCATCAGTTGTGTGCGCTAAACGCATGATTCCATTCAACGTCCCGTTACTAAAGATCGTCAAATTTCTTTGTGAATATATTGTGACGAATAAGTTAGACTTAGTATTCCATCACGTACCATAAAGTAACTGATTTTGCAATGCAAAACACTGCCAGGAGTCATTACGAAGAGGCAGGCCTACAAGCATTAATAGTGCTACCATGAAGCATTTGCTCCTAAGCGGACATGAAATGCGGTTCGTAAATGCGTTCAGTGTTTTCTACTCCGGTTAGCCACGTTATTCCCACCATCAACAGCAGTACCTCAGCCATTTGAACTGGTGTTTCGCTGCCATACAACCATAACAACCTAAGGAACGAAGAATAATAAGAGGGAGAGAAGAGGAACTTACTGGAGAACCTTAATTCCCCAAGCAAACATTCAGGGTCAAGGCGCCTACGTCTTGTGTCAACAAAATACTGTCAAAAACGGCTGGCCATAGTGCAAAGACAACGCGGCATTGGCGAGACAGTTTTTTTGCGGCTTTCACCGCGCCGCTGATGCAGCATGAATTGTGCAAACAGAAGGCTCTTGTACAAGCCCTCGAGTTTCTTTGGATCCGCGTCGATTCTTCGATGTCAGACACTGACAGCTCAACGTCGGCTGTGAAGTCTGTCTCCAGTGAATCGAATTAATTATCGATCCAATTCACTGTTCTAGTTCAAGCAACAACAGCATTTGATCCGGATTTCATTAGCACACTGTGTCGCCCGTTGCATTCCTATAATTGTAATGAACCTGAACCTCTGGAAGTATGCAGAGAGGTTCAGGTTCAACTGGTCTAGAATAGATAAGCGCACATAAGGTGGAAACGTCACCTAGCCCAGAAGGATGCTGATGATTTGTTCGCGTCTTAACAGTGAGCAGTTCACAGCGCTGAAGAGGCGATGTACGAATACCCAGAAATACAGTGTCTGCATATGGCCTGCAATTGGACATTGTGAGCATATACGCACAGCGGGACCCCCACGCCAAATGACTGGCATACAGGAGAATGAGTAGGAACGTGGCACTGTTCCGTCTGTCTGTTATCGTAAAAATGATAACCCACAAGATGCATTACGCAATAACCACATGTTATTGAATTCTAGTGAGACATCTCCGCGATTCTAAGATTGATTTATTGTAGCGAGATAAATTCCGCCGAAGGCTCGCAAGATCGCGACTAAGGCTAACAGCGCCACACTGAACAACGAACAGGCCGGTCGCCATTGTAAAATAATTCTACAACAATACAGCATAATCAAAAGAGATGATCGACGCGTAATGTCCATTGGAAGCAAGCTCAGCAATCACAAGCGAGTACAGAAAACGAGGGAAATGGTTAACCTACTGGCGTTAGAATGAATGAAAAGGTGGCTAGATAGCTGCTACATAAGATGGGAGATTGAATCGACAAAACTGTTTGATCTCATGACGGAGAAAAGGAGATAACATCAGCGTCAATGGATAAACAGCTGATCCATCTAGTTGAGATCATGGGGAGAGAAAAAGATCGTTCAAGAAGGAGTGTACCAACGGGTCACGTTTCAGAAGAATGATTAAGGTTGGAGCGAGAGACGGAGATATCAAATGCGCCATTAAACTGGCTATCGAACCTGTTTGATAGGGTTTCTAGTCAGAGATAATAAGTTGAGAGATCCACAGCAACGAATTTAGAAAAATGATTGATCATGATCATCGGCATGCAGTTAGCTATGAGTACGAAACAGTACAGAACCCAAAAGAACTAGCCGTTCGAAAAAGATGTATTAGAAAACAACTCCAGGAAAATCAAAAAAAGTAGGCGCATCACAGAGTACAGTCATTACACAATTCTCTCCACGCATTTGCCAAAGTATGACGTTGCCGATCGGCCAGATTGAGCCCAGCGTATACAGCGCTCCAGACAGCATAACACAGGCGTAATGCTTACTGCCATATGGATAGCTCCGTCTTGTAAGCAGCCTCATTGGGGAAAAATAAGTTTGCCACATTGGCGATGGCCTGTCGACCACAGCTCGGACAATCAGCGGCGACCAACTGGTCCAGCTTATCCTGCAGGGCAAATGCGAGATGAGTTCAGTATAGGCCATGACAGAACAGCTGATACGAGTGGAAAACATGGGTGAAATGTAAGAAGAACAAAACAGTTGAGGTTAGGCGACGTCACAGTAATTGCGTTAGGAGGTAGAAATGTACTACAACGTCTATGGCTCTGTGTTCAGGTATTCGGCCGGTGTTGATTTGGTTGAACAAGAATGGTGGATTCTCCCAAAACAGAATGTCACTAAGAAACACTTAGAGCGATTAAGCATGATATATTAGCAGTCTTATTAAGAAAAGGAATATTCAATGAGTGTATATCGCCTCTGCTTTTATGATGAGTAAAGGATTAACAATGCACAAGATCGTACGTAAAATAATCAAATCCTCATTGAAAACAGACAAATATGAGGGAATTTATCGCACCCGAACACTCTATATCAGCGTTTCGCAAAGTGATTCGCAGAATTTCACCGAAATGTAAGGATGACGTTAAAAATCTTCTGTACGTGATCAATTTATGTTAAAATTGGACGACAAATGTGGCGCGAAGACTCGCAGAAGATATTTATACACATTATATGTGAATCGTCCCTTCAGGAAGAATTTCAAAGTGTCGTTATCTGATTTTTGGTATAAGACGAAAGACGAGTACCCTGGTATTGCGAAGACAGCTGTCGCCACATTTCGACCATTTGCCACAACTTACGTGTGGAAGTGAATTTTAAATTTACACATATACAAAAATCAAGTAACATGATAGACTTGCAGTTGAACCAGATATGAGACTACAGCTTTTCTCAATAGCATCAAACATGAAAGTCAGTGCTTCAGGTCAGAAACAATTTAAGGTACGTAGTTTGTATGCACAAATGCACGATCATTTAATTTTTCCCAACATTAGTGGACACCCGTGTTAACTCAGTGTGCAGTAATGAACGTTTTCAGGACAATTCTCTCTATTTCTATGTGATAAAAGCCTAGTATTGTAGTTAACAATACTTCAGGAGTTCCCCGTGTGAGCTGCCACTAAAATTGGATCCACGGCCCAAAACGCTTGAGAAGTGTGACTCTACAGGGTTCAAAACTAGTGCCCGCTTGCACGGGCAGAGCCGCTGAATGGCTTGTGCACATTTCAGTCATTGAAGGGACCGTGTGAGTAAATTTTCTGGATTAAAGATTGTATTTGTATGGCATATAAAGGACCACGCATAGTATGAATTGCCGGACCCCATATGAGTCGAACTAAGTCAGGAAAGCAGTATCCTTATCTACGACGTATCTGTTATAAGTGAGTGAAAATTTGTCTCCACACCTATCAAATAGCACAAGCGCACCAGCCATTACTTTAACATAAGGAGCAAACCATTTATACATCACACGAGAGCACTAAGAAAAATTCACTGACAGTGCACATTGAGTGAACGAATCCCTTCAGATGTGAAGGTACGTAAACAACGAAGAAAACAGCTTGAAAACATAGGCACGCGAACACACCTGCGTGCCAGCAGAAACAGTTTCTACTCCCACTCATATCATGAGCAACATGCAAAAATACATAAACACTGGAAAAAAACTCAAACCCAGGCTGAATATAAACATATGTTGGTAGTCGTCTAGACTAACCTGCCGGTGGGCAGGTGGGCTGGTGAGACACCGATTTTCATCAATGTACCCGCGCCTCAACCACCAAACATCACCATGCACAGACATGAGATGTTTTATGGGCGGGACATGTGTCTCCACACCACACAAAGGTGTGTGCAGACTGTTCAATCGCAATATCAACATGTTCCTCCATTCAAAGGTACTAATTCAATCTCAGTCTGTACTTCACGGCAGTGAAGTTAGAGGATAATGATGACGAAATCAGCAAAAACTCTGTGACGAGATCTGTGCCCATGCGATCGAGGTATCGAGTTTGCTTCGGCCATCCAAGTAACTAATGGGATCACGTCATGTGTTGACCAAGTGGTCCACAGAAGAAGTGTAACAAAAACACGGGCAATACAATAGCAATCATGGTGAGGGAGTTTGACGGTTGTTGGCTTGACGTATAGCCACAGAGGTAAGTATCGATGAAGTGACAAAACACTAGAGTGCAAGGTGGTATCGGACAAGTGATTTGTCAAATGAAGAGTAGAGTAATAACATCATCAAACGACAAAATGCAGGCAATGCGCACAATCAACGAATACGGATGAAAGCCACTCTGAAACAAACTCAGAAATCAGACGAGACAACACAGACAAAGTCAGTACAACAAAATCCATCGATAAAGAGAACAGTAAGATAGTGGATGAATAATAGAGACAAGAGACCTGGAAATCGGCCAATGACGCCTGGCTGTTCATTTGCTGAGCGTTTAGCAAACGATCCAATTCAGCCATTTCTTCCGCTGAAAGATGTGGTTCCACCTGTGACAAAATGCGCCGAGATGGATAGTGGTCAACCACGAAACAATCAAGAAAAAAGCATGTAACGTTAAGGAAAAATTCAATCTAGAGACTACCATGAGTCACTCATGTGAATCGGTGCTCCAAGGAATACAACAGCAGATTAAATAGAAGTGAAAACTGACCGTGATAAAAATGAGCAGTAACATCAACAGGACGAGCAGACTGTGTGCAGTCTACAGCACTTAATATCAGTAAAGAGCGCATCATCATCATCATCGTTATACACGTTAGCCGCAGGTGGAAAACACCACAGCTATTGTGCAGCAACACAAAAGACAAGAAGAAAAAACAACAACAGAGCCACGCCGGCTGAATCCCCAATAACGGATGGACATCGTTCCGGAGTTAACAGCCGGCTATCGTGCTGCAAGAAGTGAGTTATATTATGCCTAACAAATGAGATCGTGATTGGAGGAGAGGCTAAGCAGGAGGGAATGGACAAAAGAACTCACAAACGCCATTGGGGCCGACTCCTAGCCATATCAGCATGTGTTCAAGTAAAGAGAGCAACTCCGCTGAAATGCATAGGGCACATGGCGGATCGGAATCCAGTGACAAGAAGCCACAACCGAAAGATTTGCTAAGCGGACCACCTAAGAAACAAATCCACAGTTCGAGCATGCGCCTAATTAAGAGTTGTTTGGATGCAGAGCACATCACCATGCCAACGTGATGCAACCAAAAAAGGTTAAAGCAGACGTTCCCAAATTTCGGGTGAAGTGGGTCCAGGTCTCTGACCAAGTAAAATACGTACACGTCGAGGTGATGATAGCCAGATGCGATGCCAAAGTTATGCATCCTTGAGTGATCAATAATGCGCCAAATTCACTGTTTAGAGTGCACTCTTCACTCTGGTTATTCATTGGCGCCTCGCCGTCAGCTAAGGTATAACGATGATGATTGGCGCATCAGACAAAGAGGGCATGGCGGAAGGACAGAAGAGAAACTGAGAAGCCATGGGTCGTGAGTGCGTTTATATATATATATATATATATATATATATATATATATATATATATATATATATATACCAACTTAAACTAGGTCTTATTATGTTGGAGAAATTTCATTCCACTTTATTTGGTTTGTTCTGTTTACCTGAGTAATATTCTATTAACTGGCCACGTTTCTCACCTTCATTGCGCTTATCTTTTCGGTAACTTTGTTGCGTTTGTAGCATTTTTAAGTAACTTGTGGACAGTTTTTACTTATCGCGGATTCGTTGCTAACCAAATTACTTCATATGCTAATTTAGCGAAGAGTTACATCATGGTATCTCTATGCATTATTTGATTTATTTTGTTTAATCTTGTTTCAAGTGATTGGCTGTTGCTTAATATCCCCGGGGTGGCTGTGCTCGATGTGCATGCTGACAAGGTGCCTACCTGTCTATTACCCACTATCTCGTCCATACTGGCTCCAGGAGACAGTTGGTCATTGCTAGAGGAGACGTGGTGCACGCTCCTTGTGGCCGTGTAAGGTTCAAAGTGTGGTTCCATGCACTCAGTGTGGAGCGGACTACGGTCCAGCCACCGCATTGTGTGCACTTGATTCCCAAATACAGCGTGCTTGCGTTTGCCTGTGAAGCAGTGTGATACGGCTCCGTTGATGAAACGTGGCTCCCATCCACATGCCTCCCGGCCTTATTCCTTCGGGTTTACACTGGATATGGGGTGTGTGGTTGGAGCTGTGGGTGGTGCAGTGCAAGCCACCCATGGTCCCTCTGTAGGGGCAGGCGTCCTGTGGCTGGCCACAGTGACAGGCAAATCCGAAACCGGATGCCGCCAACCATATATATATATATATATATATATATATATATATATATATATATATATATATATGTATATATCCTGATGCATGATATAAAACAGAGCCTCAGGGTCCAGTTGTACTCTTGTTATTGGTTCCTTTCTATTTTTCATTGTTACCTGATCGGATTGTATTGCATCACAATAACTGGGGTGTTTCCCACCCCTAGCAAATATATAGTGTGATGACGACGATATAACTGGGAGTCTGGGAAAACACGAGTCAAAGCGACAAAGAAACACCAGGTGGGCATGCGCAGGAATGTTTGAATCAGATGATCACCTAGCGAATGTATGCTTTCTAAGTGACAGCGTCCACTGAGAGGCACTTTGTGAGCATCCCCTAACAATGCCATGGGTCCTTCCTCTTTTACAAATTCAGACAAGTCTACTGAGAAAACCTTGGTCATAAAGGATTGCTCAATTGGTTACAAACTGCGAGGATAGAGTGACGGTCACCGATCACAGTCGGTTTTATTGGTCCGATTATGTCCTAGTGCGACTCAGTAACAGGGGGGACAGTCGTACTCTACAACGCTACCGTCGCACTTCTCTGAATGGCCGAGAATCGATTAACAACGACTTCTGGTCATCACTATAATCGAAACGACGTCAAAATTGCGACGTCATGACAAGTGCAAAAAGCAGAGGCATAAAAGCCTTACGGTTCTAACAACAAAACTTGCCTACTCTACACACATGCATGTAGAGTAAGGCACTGCCAGACGTGATGTACTACGTTTACAAAGAGGTTGAGGTGCAGATAAACTGGCTGTAAGCGAAACCAGGTCCTCGATTGGTTGGCCCGTAAGTAGGTGGACTCCACCAATGGAAAGTTGGGTTGATCTGAACATCATTCTATCTACATACTCTTTAGGACCAAAAACAACTCTGTAAAGTGGGGAAGACGAAGAGACGACGATGCGATTTCAGGAAAATATCGGTCGAAAGCAAGACATACAGAGAAACTTCAGAGGTTAACCACCTCGATATCCTGATCTCCTCTCTAAGTTGACCGGTTTTTCATAGTTTGAACCATCATGTAAACCCTATGGAAATAGATCTCTCTATATCGACCACTCTGGGAGTTGTATGCTGACCAAATGGGCTATAATAATCAATATTAATTTCACCGCTGTAAGGTGGCCATGTGAAGGTTTCCTGTGCAATGGTCGCCGAGCAATTCGTTTGTTCAAATAATGTGTATACAAAGTACTTTTTCAGTGTGTGAAATTCTCCTGATCCACAATCAGTGCACTTTACGGAGCCGCAGACGTTTGACAATACAGCATTTCCTCCTTCTATGTATGTGCGTATTTTAGTATTTGCGTGCACCGGTGGTTACCTTTTACATGTCTCCACAGATCCATGTCCCAGGGATGTACCTTGACCGTTTTTGTATAAACCCTTTCCTCAGTCGTCTACATCCAAAAACGCGCCACAGCTACCCATAGGAACATGTGCACACTAAGTGCACAGATCACAATCAGGAGTTTGAGTGCCTGTGTAACGTCTATTGACGAGTTCTAACCTATTTAGTTACGTGCGTAAACAATGATAGAGTTCTTGCAAAAAATAGTAATTAACATTGAGGAAACCACACTGCGTATTTATTTATTTTACCACTGCATGATCTAAATGTGTTTGTCATTAGGTAAGAGAACAACTAGTATATTCGAAACAGAATGTACGTGAAAATAAAGTTCATACTGTACTGCACACAATGGCCAGCAAGGTAGACTGTTTTTATATAGGATCTCCATGTGTTGACCACTTTGGTCCAACTGATTGAGTGGTCAAGTTATGGAAGTTCTAACGTAATGCAAGGACTTACCTGTGCCATCAAACAGTTGGCGTGGAAGTAGTGCCCACAGGGAAACAGATAAAATGCTCTTACGAGAAGCAGCTGGCTGCAATGAGCACAACGGCTGTCAATGTCCACCTTGTGATATCTGTAAGCGAGAAGAGCATAGGTGATCAGTTCAACAGAGAGCGGACTGAAAAAGAGCATGTAGCGCAGAGTGGAATAGATGCTAAAGTTTCCCTATTTTCATCGCAATACAAAAGGCGGCATCTACCAACTACCTCAGAGTGATTCTGAGCAGTTAAATCAATGGCCAGGGGTCAGACAAAATCGATTTCAGCAAACTAACTCAAGGCTAGGGACGTATCGATGGCACTATCTCTACAACACATTGTCGCGAGTGATAACAAAGAGCACTGACGTCAGATGGATTGGTGCAGATTACCGGCGTCACCTTCTGTCGCTGATAATGTGAAAGCACTATTTTTGCTCGCTGCTTTGTTACCGCCTATTTCAAGCCACACAATCGTGGATCAAGAAAACGCGAACACGTCGGTGTATGATTGTCACCGCCGATGAGCAGCTATGATTGGTTATGAATGTATCAAACCTGCGTGTGGCCGCTCATAAGCGGATACTAGTGGGAATTGCAGTTACATAGTCACTATAGTGATTTGGAGTAGAGACGCTTCTGGGTCAAGTGTTTAGCGTGAGAGTGCACGCATAGCGGCTGGCATGTTCCATTTAGTCTAGAGAAGTCTATATGGAGTCACTTATGGGTTCGTACATCCGGGGGCAGAGTGATTGAACGACAGAGAAAAATGGGAAAAGATTTATTTGGTGATCCACAGACTGCAACTCACTGGTTCCGAAAACTCTCCAGGTGTTTCCGAAGTGTGTTGCTGCATTGCATGGTGACGTGAATGTCACGTTTCACCTCTTCAATACGCTGATGATAGGAATCGAGGGAAGCGCAGATAGCATCCTGCAAGGGAAGATGAGGAGGAGTGATGTCTAGGAATTCATAACCGGAAACATCAAAGTGCAGAAGTAAAAGCTGCCTCCTCTATGCACCCCTAATTGGAGAGAGAGGCAAGTGGTTCAAAGATGTAAGGGGCAGAGAGACTAGAAGCGAAAGATAAATGCAGGGGGAACAGCACGATTAGCCGGGGGAATAAGGGATGCCGCTTGTGGCCTAACAGCGTCCCAAGTTGGCGTTAACGTACACATGCAGTAGGGAGCTTAGGGACATATGTTGGACGATACGCGGCAGATCATCCGTGGGTTATGGAATAATGTGGCACACCGTAAACAACCGACAAGCACAGTGGGTTCATAGGACACGAGCTACCGCAAATGATTGGGACTTAGTGGTCGATGTGAGTAGGAATTTCCTCGACCGACACTTGACCACACTCGTTCAGTCTACCGGAGCGAGTGTCAGTGAAACACAGAAGGAACATTTAAGCAATGGTACCAACAGTCTACGGTGTAAAGTAAAGCCACGCCTTGTATAAACGGAAGAGAAATGCAAAGAGGCCTATCGAGAGGTAAGGACAAATTATATTATCCTGCCGATGCACCGGTATAGTGGTTAGTCAGGCGGAGAAGAGGATGACCGTGTGAAAAAATGTAATAAGCGTAAGGTGGCCTAGTTCCAACTCTTGGTCCAGCTATGCGGCCATAGTGAGACTAGTTTTTAGCCCCCTGTTATTTCTCTTCCCAGCTCCTTCAATTTAGTGATGGTGGCAACGAGGATGGCTGTGTATTGTTGCAAACGGAACAAGAGTTAAGGTGTCTGGGTGCACTGCACTCAGGGGCTGCGTAGTGTGTGTGTTCAACTAAACCAAACGACGAAGTATAAAAGCGCGGAGGTCAGGTCAGTCCAAATTTACACATGTGGATTTGGTTAATGCAAATGGATTGTGCAGTAGGAGCGAAAGAATAGATGGACCTAATGGAGCAGCCAGATAGCCATCCGTGTACGCGGATCCGTTGATTGGTTGACGTAGGGAATGGTTGGTTGCTCCCCCCGTTATTCACTGAACTTAATCCAAGGAAGAATCGCATCGGTATTACTGGGAGCGGTTGAATGATATATGAAAATGAGTAACGCGCCAAAGATTCTGCTATTTCTGTCGACTTGCTAATGTCGAATAAATGGTTCACTTCTAAAAAATTCCACTTCCGAGAAAATTATGCCCAAGCATTCACCGTTTGGCTCATGTTCATAGTGTTGCTTTCGCCAGTTCAGTAAAAGGTTACATGCGAAGGCCGGTACAGGTTGATACCGAGTTATCTGAACAAAGTTAAGGTTCACTGGGCGTCAGTACCAAAAAGACATGTGTCCAGAGTATAATTAGACTCATATACGACAGAAGAAATATAGACTTTCTCATCTATCCAGGTTGATAAGATAAACTTTCCTCTCTAGCTGAGTGATGAGAAATACGGTACAAGGCCAATCAATGTGTGCTTTTATTACCCTGCTCCCTAACAGATTGGCGTTCACTGAGGTAGCACTCGTTGGTGATTGGTGGAATGGGTTTGTTTAAACTATTTAAACTAAACATTTGAACCTCAGCGCTCGCACACGACGTTCAACATGTACCGGTAGACTTGTTAACCGTGATCATCGTACGCATTAAATGACAGCAATGTTGGCTGCTGAACGATGCGTTGAGAACAAGTCCTGAATGTGTCCCATTAAGGAGCACAACGTCGCATGGTTATGGATTTCTTCAGTGTCCGCGATATAATGTGGCAGAAAAATAAGAAACCGATAAAGCTTTACGGGCGCTTGTCGATCTTTGTTCATGATGAGGCTGATACTCCACTCTGTGACCAGCAAGGTTCTGTATCAAAGTGTGCCATTAACCTATACCGCTGGGAAGACATTTACCGAGCAGAGCCGAACATCGAAGTGGACAATATTCACATGTTACAGGGGCCGTCAATAGAACGAAGTTACTTCATTGTGTACAGGAACAAGGAAGGAACTATTGTGGTGTGCGGTTGGAAACTCGTTCGGAATGATTGTGATGAAGGAAAGTGGGATTTGACCGAAACGGACACTATAAAAGAGCCACCATGCACTCGGAGAAGTGTTGAAGGATCATTGCACTTGTATGAGTTGGAGCTGTGTGCGTGTTGGTTGCGAAAGATAAGTAAGATTTGAACCGCAGTGTGAGGGTGGATGAAAGACGCGAAGGAAGTCGCCGCGGTACATATGAATCGGGGGCTAGTCAGACGAAGGCCGAGCGCGCACAATTGGTCCAGTCCATCCCAAAGAGAAACAGCGTGCTTTTTGACGTCTGATAAGCGGATTGGTCAGCCGTAAGGCGCGCGGACAGCTTACGCCTAGGTCCAGTTCGACAACAAACACCGCTGTGTCAGCTAGCCAAGCGAGGAAGCACCAAACCAATAGAGGAATGGCAAATCAGACGCTAGTCAGGAGTACTGAGCATGTGGAACGCATCCGGTTTAGTACAATGGTGGGACAGCACAAGTTTGTAGAGCAAAAAAGCAAATTGCCCGGCCGTACAACGAGCGGATGGGTTACGCCACAGGCCATGGTAACATCACGTTCAGCTGTAGCAGGTAGGCAATCGTAGGACCATTGACCAAATGAGCGGACAGCCAATCAGACGCCACCAAGTAGTTTACCCAGGATGACAACAACCAGGCTCAACGTAACTCTGGATCGGTCCATCTAAAGAACGAGCACGAGCCAATTGGGTGGAGATAATGTCACAGATAATAACGGCCAATCAATAAACGGACGACAGCAGAATACTACATATAGTCTAAAAAATCGCGAATCTTCATAACAATTATTTCTGATCGCCGTCCAGACTTTGTTCTTGAGTCCCGGAGGGCTACTAGACATGCAGTATACCGCTAAAGTGAACCTTGGTAATTTCCAGCACTGAAACCGAATTCGAAGTAGAGAGTTCGGTTTTAGTGAGAAATAAAGACTGTGGAAAGCATACTCTGCGGAGTCAAACATCTTAGAAGTAAGAGCGTCTTTGGTTCCGGACTCGACTCTCGAAGCCGTAAAATTTGACTTGGTTGTATTAAGAAAAGTTGGAAGAAAGTAACCATTTTGGAAGTAGGAGATTAAAAAGTGGCACATGATCCCGGTTTAAATCCAACCATTTACATTGCGGAATCATATGATTTTAACGTGAAAAAAACAGTTATTGAGCGTATAGTCGATGGCGAGTAGGACAGAGCTCGTTCACTGCGCTCCTGATGTGTACCGTCGGCCTCGACGCCGATGTAGGTCAGGGTTCCCGTGAGAGTTGCAGGTAGTAACTTCTTTTCCAAACAAGCATTTATCGTACGAACAGCATCATAAGATGGAGCAGAATATATAGCAGGAAACCAGTAAAAATGGAACTAGTAAATGCTACCTCGAATGCCTGGTCATAGCCATATTTCCGACCCACAATAGTCGTGTTTCTCGATAGCAAAGATGCCTTCGATTCGGTGGATCTATGTGCCCTTTGGGACTGTTTACTCAAGAAAGTTGTATACGAGGAATAAGTAAACAATCTGAGTGCTAAAGTTGAACTTGGAGAATCCGCTGGTGCTTGGGTTGATACAAGCAACCTCTATCGAGACCTTGGTTCACTTGAGGTGGAGGTGAGGAGTGCTGCACGCGAATTGTTCGGAAACTGAGGGCTAATGGCAAACTATCGCCGTGCTTCAATATCTCCAGCGGTGTTAGACAAGGATGCCTAGTGTCACCTTTACTTTTTGACTTCACCACCGACGAAGTTATGGAGACGGTGTTCGCTGGACACGACCTAAAAGGTATGGATCTGCATCTAGGTATGCGACTTGATATAGAGTATGTCGATGACAATGCCCTAAACTGTGATAGCTCCGAAAAGTGCTAAGACACAAAGGAAAAACTAGCACCAACAATCAATCATTACGAACTGTGTTTTGAAACCTCGAAATGCAAAGTCTTTCTCCAAGACTGGCAGGGATCTGCTCCTGAGATGAAACTTGGTAGTGATCAACTAGAAATCGTTCAGAAATTAAAGTATCTAGACAGCTATATTGGCGCCTGTGGAATCGAGGATGAGATCATAAGTCTTCTCGCCAATATCTGCTACCTGTGGCTTCGGCACGATATCACTCTAGCCCTGAAGCGCAGATTTAACCATGGAGCTGTCCGTTCAACCCACCTGTACGATTGTGACACCTGGCCTACCAGGTCGACAGACATAAAGAGGTTAGCTACGTTCGACCGCTGTTGCCTGCGCAGTTTAGCTCATGTTTGGTGGGAACACCACGTGAGCAATGAGCGTGTTCGGCGACGTATATGTGATACAGGAAGACCGAATGAATCGCCCAACACCATTATATCACGCACCAAGCTCCGGTGGGTTGGCCACGTGTGGCGCATGCCAGCACAACGACTACTCCGTCGTGCGCTGTTTGCACGTCGGGCGTGTGGTCTGAAGAAGTGGATTGGCCGCGCGATGACTTGGGCAAGAGGAATGAAGACCCTCACTTCGAACTTGGCGTCGGTTGATGTCTCCCGACTGCCTGGCTAGGGTCCGAAAGATGATGAGCACGTTTAGCTGGATAAACTCGTTGACATAGCGAAGAGCCACTCAATGGCGTTCACGTTATGGGTTGCTTTGTCCCCCCTTCTGACGCTTAATTTCCCCCTCCAACCACGGCCTCATATGCGATGAGTAAAATGGTAGTTAGCATCATATAATTTGTTATTTTTAAGGTTTTTTGGTAGTCTGCAGTGTTTAATATATTATCTTTTCGTATTGCGGCACATTAGCTGAGGTGTGTTTCTCAACCTCAGAACGTGTATTGATGAGGACGATGACGTATGCACGCGACTCATGAGCCATCATGAACAGCATTTATTGGTAAGTGGCGTGAGGGCACGGCACAAAGGTCGCCTACCTTGAACTGATCGATGGTTACAAAATCGTGGAAGTAGGGTAGTAAATCTTCCAACTTCAGGAGAGGGCATTCACGTAGTAGGTTGGTGGCCTCTTGCATATCGGTCCCGTCACCGATGACATGCTGAGCTATAAGGGATGTGTTGATAACAGAAATGAACGTCATAGATATTTTAAAAAATCAAATCACGATGTGAACATGCGGATATTGTCCGGATAACGTACCAATCTTTAGCCACAGGTGCCTCCGAACTTCGCTGCTTAAGGATTCGTTCTGTGCAATCTCTTTAGCAAGAGAAATATCGTTCTAAAACGCCGTAAGAGAGGTAAAAGAGAAGAGATGTTATTGGTCATGTTTAGGAAACCAGTACACTATGTTACTAATGAGTAGGAGGAATTTCAAGTGTAATGAGCTAAGGTGGTTAGTTCATTTAGATACAGCGACTTAAGGGAGTACCACAAAGAGGGAGTTGTAGAATGTGAAATTTTCCTGTAGTAGTCGTCATTCTGGAGATATCTTGGGGACCCCTATGAACCTCGGAGAATCCAGCCAGACAAGGGAGTTCCATCTGATCTAACCGAATACACCTAGGATATTATGAAGATTAAGGTAGGTGCAGTCTAAAGTGGGATAAAGTGGCGTGGCCAGTAAAGTATAATGTTCATTCTCAGCTCACAGGACCGTCTTCGGGTTACGACGTAGAAGAAACATAGGGGTATGGGTTTAACCCTTTACAGACTCCTGTGGAGGAAGCTTCACTATGGAGGATGGGGGAAGAGAATGAGGGAATATGGCCCAGTCTGTCTGTAGATTAATAATCCAGACAAAAGTTAATACCACCGTACTCATACAGATAAAGGTGGCAGTCGCGCCAAGGTTGTGATCAGGCAGATAAAAAAGGAGTACCAGTGTAATTTCCTGTGTGGTCCTTCATGAAACTTGAAGCAATCGCATATACAACATACTAGGTGAACTTGTATGCTTCAAAGTGGTGCTTAAAACATCGAAATTCTCCAACTCATAGGCCAGACGCCACTGAACCACCAGATTACAAGGAATCGAAAGTATGATAGCAGTGGTAGATCGGGGACGTGCCAGGCGTGATCCGCCAGCGATGTAGACTAGAAGACAGTCAATTTAACTAAATATCCTAGTTACAAGGTTGAGTTACAGGGACAGTGAACACACAACGTACTGAATCGATGGCCTCCTGAAGCGCCTGTTGGTGCATACCAAGCAATTTCAGTACGAACACAGTGCCACGAAGATGAGAAACCTCTTTACAAGTGCGCAGCACAAATCCTGGATCGTAAGGGAGCGCTGGAGAGCAAGAGTAAAGATTGTAAACAGCAAGGAGTAATTCAGGTTCAGAAGCAATGCTCGTCGAGGATGAAGCGGGCACTCTTAACAAACATATGGGGACGCGATCTCAAAGGCGGTACTGATTATGTCCTCATAGAGTCAGGAGGAGCGCATTAAAAAGAGAATAGGGATAAGAAATAGTACTTCAGTGCATCCGCTAGTTAGAGAATATATTGATGAATATGTGCGACCACGTCGCATGATTGACCAAATCGGGCGAGGTGCCAGGGTGGAGGGATTCGATAGGAGCCGAGTGTAGTCATGTTTTCACAAGCGATCATAGTTGGTATCAGTCGAAGACGTCATGATAGCAACCGAAAACGTAAGAATTGCGAGTGCCTCAGACACAAAGTTGGGTTTGGAGTACTATCCATGTTGCTGGATTGTGACACGCAATCTCTACTGAGGGATTGTTTATTTCGATCACCGGGACCGTATCCGAAGTGAAGGGGATTCGGTGTTGCTCTCTCCAACAGGAACATCCACCCCAAACCCGAATGATCGGGTTCGTTTTTGTTTGAGCTCAACAGATGGAGATAGGCTGAGCTGGGGTTGAATTCGTGAGCGAAACTTGGCACAGGAGTACGAATTTCAAAGTTGGAGAACCTGCTATGGGGTTGGATTGCGACACGCAATCTCTGTTGTGATTCCCGTTCACTTGGAATTAGACCTCGGTCATTCCGATCACCGGGAATGGAGAGCATTCGGTGTTTCTCTCTTCTAACACGAAGATATCACATGCGAATACTCCAAACCCAACTTTGAATTCCTTACCGCTGTGACAAGCATTGCTCACGGGTCTTAGTGGCCTAGTGATCGAGGCGTCAGCCATTGACCGTTAGGCCCCGAGTTCTACTCACTGCATAAGCCCTCTCACTGATGAATCTAAACGAGGACGAAACTAATCGGGGGGTCGCCGTGTTGGGAGAGAGTGACACCTGAGCCGCTCAACCTCAGATAGAAACTAAGTGAGTAACCCAACAGAAAAACCGCCACCAGTGGCGGTTGTAAGGTATCGAGACAAACAGAAAGATGGGTAGCGTGGACTGAAGTCTGGAAGGTGAGAGACCATAAATGCATCAAGCGTAGTAGCCAATATCTTCATTCCTCACTCTAATACCAATGTTTGAGTCCTCTAATTCAGCGCCATCAAGCATCAGGTTAACTGAGAGGCATATCTCGTAAAGTGGTTACTGGGAATACGTTGCACGTGCCCAAGCCATCGCAGCTTAGTCGATGTTATTTGTCGTTCTGAAGAACCAATCTGACCACCATCGCCTAGTAGACACCTGCGCTCACCAACGTTGTTGATAAGCCAGTGAAATTCGATAGCCAACGAGAACAAAAGTAAATTATCAAAACTATTCTTTACTCGTACTCAAAAGAGTAGTTTTAAATGGAGATACACAACTTCGTCAAGTGACGGAGCGGAGATATATCGTAACAAATGTGACCCCAGACATAACTCTGCGGGACCCACATCGTATGCGTAAGTAGTAAATGTACGAAAAACAAACGGGGTTCGTTTCAGTCGGAGTTGAGAAGGTCTGTGGTGACGTTCCTCTCACCAAATACCACAGTATCGTCAGAATTTTATTAAATCTCCGACTGATGGTAGGCATAGAGCTGGGATGTGTTCAGTCCACATGGTGACGAGGGCTCAGGAAAACATGGAGAAGTGGTTTAGTTCAAGCGAAAATTACAAAGCGAAAGTTACAAACAAACTTACAAACCATTGTGTCGAGGACAGACGGCTAGTATTGAGCTGATACCAAGTCCCACTGATCAGTATTCCCAAAAGGTGAACCAGTTAGGGGTCATTTAATCGATCGCCGTGATGTGGGTACTTTCCACAGCGACATAGAGGAGTTATCGTGCGGAAAGCCCAAGATGGAATGGTATAAAACTAAGTATGATAACTGTAACTTCAAGTGACTGGTTGTTCGGCGAAGATGTCTGCTCTATTTCAATGCAGACGGAAGTCCGGAATTAAACCGTAGGTAGGCAGAAGGTGCGCATTTCTTAAGCAAACATGATAAATAACAACTGAGAAAACAGGTTTGGGGTGAGATGGAAGGGGTATTTTCATTGCTCTGACACATCAGAGTGATGAATTTCAAACGGATAAAGAAGGGACTGAGGAAGAATTTCAGATGTTCGTAGCGGCCTAAAACAGATGGAAAGACAGTGAAAACTTGAGAAAATACTATGTAGAAATAACACAGGTATCACCGAAGGATGAACCACGCTATATCGCAATAAAGCTGCAAGGCACATCAGCTGATACTGCTACCCGCGGCTTAGCAATTACCTAGCAAGAAGAGGGGATCGGTGGAAACTTCATCGCAGATGAACCCCAAAGGATGAAACATGCATACAATGTTTCTTTGCATGTGCGGTAAATCCTCTTCGAGATTAGAACTGATCGACAAAGATGGAGAGCTTTCGTGCTGTTCTCTCAAATCATTATATTCCACGAAAGGTCTCGTCGTTTTCGGACTCCAAGTAAAGATGATCTGAGCTGGGAGTGTTCTTTTCGGAACCAGCACCAATTATCGAAATGTGCCGACTGAGATATGCCCAAACGTCTTACAGCTCCAAAGAGGGTCACTCCGACATCTTCGTTGCAAAACGACTCTTGATTTGGCATTAGAACAGCGAGTTTAGAGCACCATCATTGGAGCAATTCCTCCAGGAGGTTGCGGGATCCAGTTTGCTTACAGGCCAGCCCATAGATGAAAGGACAAGGCGTCAACCTTGCAACCCGGACATCATCCTTTCGAGCCTGCGGAGGAGAACGGGCAAACCTCGCAGTATTCTCAGCTCACGCGCGACTAGTGGTGGTCACGCGGCGGGGAAGCGTTGGTACGGCGTACCGGCGTACAACTGATGCTTGCTTTATTTTTAAAGATGAGAGGAATGAACGACATTAACATGACATTCTCGCGCAAATTTATAGACTGCAAGGGTGTGAGACCAGTCATTTTGATTAGCGAAATCACACATCATGGACGGGTGACTCCCTATAGTCGGTGGAAAATGCCAGTATGCATGTGTTTGTTCATTAGCCATATGAAAAAGATGTGGCCAGTGAGCCAGTTAGGGTTGACAATTGGAACACACTATTGGTTACATAGCACTACGAGATAACAAGGGCCACATGGCCTTATGCCTTGATTCTACTCGGATCTGTAAAGTAGGACAGGGATTGAAGCATCCGTGCCAAAGTCTGAATATGTAAAGCAAACATAAACACAGCGTATCCACTTCGTCTAAACATAGACAGTATAAAAACCGCCTCCTGCATCATGTTGGTGCATCCAGCCACTATCAAGTCCTTAGATATAGGTTATCATGAAGAAGTAAAAAAACGGTTCCAAAATATTCACAGGTAGATTCCAAAGGAAAAGCGGACAAAAGAAAAAGTGCTGAAGATCGGAAGGACTGATGGTAAAAGACCATATTTACCAATGATATTGTTCGAATCAGGGGTGTAAGTGGGCTGCTGAAAGCGTGATCATAGTGAGGCGGGATTCCGACATTACGGGCTAGTCAAATGTAGACAGAAGCAACAAATATCTTACTGTCCCAGTTGTGTGGTAACAAACTACCAAACATGCCAATCACATGGCCAGTGAAGAAAGCAACTAATGGCTCACCTCGTTAGAATTCAATAAAACCGAGTGGTTGGAAGAAGCTGTTTTCGGATATCTGAGCTGTCGTGAAACCCTTGTGCGTACAAAAGTACAACGGGCCGATATCATGGAAAAATTGAGGTCCGAATTGGGAGAAGGGTGCACACAGTTGGTTGCCGCGTGAGTGCAAGCGAAATGAAGCTGCCGATCACGTAGTAGTCAGTTTTAATCTTGTGAGCCTGGTGAGCGTCGAGGTGTAGATCCAAGTGTTAGTGATGGAAGACCAAAATCACCATCGTTGCCGTTTACTGAGGTACTTGGACTGGCTAACCATACAAACAGCGTTAGTGTGTTGGTCCTTCTGAATAACGAAACAACAACCACACTAGTTCAAGCCGCTCTCGACTACAGTGCCTCGGTCTCCGGTGCAGTGACAGACCAAACCGAAAGCCGAGTATATGCCAGCATAAAACTGACACAAAACTGTTACCTCGCAATCTCCTTGCGAACTACCAAACAACATATGATCGATGCTGTGTTTTTTAAGAGTCCGAGTAACCATGTTAAATGACGCGTGCTTCACCAAACTAAGATCACACATATTTTTCCATTTACCTACCAGCAAACCATCAGCAGTACCCCGGTACGCAGTACGGAGGCTTCGCTGTCGCGTAACCACCACCGGCCGGACGTAGAATAGGATACGGCGAGGGTCGCCCGGGCCCTACGCAGGCTCGAAACCGCGCACTCGGATTACAAGGCACAATTGCGATCATAAAGGTTACGGGCTGACTTCCATTCACCTAAATAATCAACAAAGTTGTGATCCCGTTGTACGATCTGTTTGGACCAATAAACTAGGCCGTGTTTCGCACAGACGAAAAATAAACCACTTATTTATTTGGACCGTAAAAGACTGCTCGAAATGCAACTATAGCCGTCTAGTAACTTGGTTGCGATTTTTACTCGTTATTTGTTGGTCAAACGTAGTGTTTACGTGAAGTCTTGTGCTACCAAGTAAATGCATTGGTCGATTGCTTTCAAAGCTTGCCGAAATCACACAAAGTGAGACACCTGTGCCACACAAGTTACGGAAAGCGAGGGAACAAAATCAAGACGCAAGTACAAAAGAAGAGGAGTGCACAAAACCCTCAGACGGGAATAATGAACGGAATGACAAGTAGTTGGTAAAGTCGAATGCATGCAGCGTAACAGGTATAACGCATTCATGGTGGAGAAATCAGAGCGCGTAATACATGCGGGGGATTATGATAATTCATCAAGATCTGTGCCCAAACAGCTTCGTTGCATTAAGTGCATGGAAACTGGTGGCTGCCTTGCCCAAAAATATCAATGTCTAAAAATATGGAGTAAGGATGCTCTTTAAAATCTAATGGTATCTCAATGCCTATAAAATAGTCTAACCCCAAGGTACGAATGCAGTAAAGTTCACAGTTCAGGACCCAAAAATAGGATAAAGAATGACAGTAGTCACAGAACTTGCCCGACAGAATAGATTCGTCAAAGGTGGGAAGAGACATGAAGTCCGCATCAGTTGAGGTGACGTAAGAACCACCATCAAATGGCGCATCCTTGTGTGCAGTGACTTCAGGTTCATCAAGCTTCAGCTGTGAACGGCCCTCGAATTCGGCCAAAGCTATGGCTTTCGCACTGGTCAATTCCAAGTAGGACATGAGACAATCAGCGGATTCGTCATGTGGTATCTTGGTGGAAGCCTCGGCACAGAGCGATACAAGTAGATGGTGGATTGCACGATCAGTACAGTGGAGGCGTTCCACCACGTAGCGAAGGTACCTCATCGATTGCTCAGGTGGTAGCACCATGATAGCAGACAGCAGACTGTGAAACAGATATCGATTAGAGGCCAGCAAAGTTTTGTTACACAGTAGATACAAACCGCAAAGTTAAATAATACGACTTCGGATGGAAAGTTGGAGGTCGACCGAATCGATGAAACATATATGAATTATAAGTCAAGATGTTACCAGCTAGATGACACGCGTGAGTGCATACACTGAACAGGTAGATGGAGTGCATGAAATGTGTCGCATGTGAAACCCAAACCCAAACAATGCGGCTATCATCCAATGACAGAGCATGCCTATATTCCATCAGAATAAGTTACAGGCCGGCCAAACGTCGATGAAACATACGTCCATGAAACAGATAACGCGATCATTATTATCTATTGGGCTGACATATGCCTTCACTGCAACATGTGCTGGTATTCTGCCAAAATGCCGAGACTAGTTCAGATCGAAACAAGATGTCCGATAGTTAAGTTCAGCTGGGTCACCACTGAATGGTGTTCAAGCTCAAATTAGTTCAGTTTTACCACAAAACCACAGATCTGTAAGGGAGTGAGGAATGTGTTTTCTAACACAGTGTTGATAAGCGTCAATGGCGTGCTGATTGAGGAATGCACTCCTTGGCCTCTTATTTTTATTCGTTTATATTCATCGATCGTACACTGTGTGCGAGTGATATAGCTACTTGGACGCACCCACGGAGTGGTCACGCTGGACTATGTCATCGTACGCCAGCGTGACATGCGTGAAGTGCGCATAACACTTGTACTGCGTGGAGCCGAGTGAGGCGCTAACCACAAGTTGATGCGGACTAAATCGTACATATAGTTTCGTAAGTCCGTATGTTGCACTCCTTCCGTGAACCAATGGAAATATAACGTACGTTCTATAGGTACTGCTAAGAGGAGGATGGAACTGGAGAAGGAAATGGCTACCCAGTTTGGCGATGTCGAATCCATGGCTTCAATGAGCGAAATGTGGCACCACATCCGTGAGCATTTGACCGTTGCTGCCGAAGAAACAATCGGGTGCACAAACTGTAAGCGGCCCGATTGGTTTGATGACAACAATGTGAATATTGGAGCATTGGTGACGGTGAAGAATGCAACGTCCGCTGCGCATGTGGCGGACGATGCTAACTGTGAGGACAGTCACTTTCGCGAACTTGGGCAGTGATTGACTCGAAATCTCCGTCGCATCAAAAATGTATGGTGGACGGAGAAAGCGAAGCAGATGGAATGCTGTACTGAATGACGCCAACATAAGAAAATTTCGACCCCTTAAAGGCGGTGTATGGACACACGTTGCAACCGCTGAAAACGCTGTTCGATGCTACTTCAGACGCTGCCTGCACACAGATTGCAGACATAATGCAGATTTGGCGAACACGAACTGTCTCTTGAACAACTGTTCAGCGAGTGACTTGGCAATGTTGCAGGGACTGCAAGAAAATGAGATGTAGTTGTGTCTTGCTGACACACCGAAACTAGATGAGAAGCAGAAGGCGCTTGCACAGCTGCGAAACGGCAGGTGCACTGGTTCCGACGGGATCCCGCCGGAAGTATTGAAACACAGCTGACCCGCGTTGATTAGTGCGCATTACCACTTGGTGCAACGCGTGCGGATTGAAAAGGAAGTGTCGACCGAGCTAAAAGAAGCCTTTGTGTTGCCGCTGTACAGGGGCAACCAATGTTGCACGAAGTAGCACGGCATCAAGTTGATGAGTTGTGCGGGTTAGGTGACTACCCGAATCCTGTTCACCCACCTCGTCACTCAAGTCGTTGAACCGAACGTCGCGAAGGAGAAATGTGGATTCCGTTCGGGCCGTAGCACTATCGATGTAGGATTCGCGGATTATCAGTTGCAGGAGAAATGCAGAGAGCGACACCAATCAGTGTACTCGATGTTTATAGACTTCACTAAGGCATATGATACGGTGAACCGCGAGGCATTGTGGCAAGTGTTGGATAGGTTTGATTGTCCGTAAGTTGTAAGGGTAATTGAATGTCTGCAGTGGTATGTGGGTGTGGGTGCTACTGAGCGGTCGGCCGGTGACCGCATGGTCCGCACGCCTGGCTTGCAAGCATAAGGTCACTGGTTTGAATCCGCGTAATTGCGAGCGTCCTCGCTGTATACTCAGCCCGTGCGCGACTGACGGTGGTCGCGCGGCAGCGAAACGCCGTTGCGGTGTACAGCTGACGGTTGTCTCTGGTGTGAAGCAAGGCTATTTCTTAGCACTGCCCCGTTTAATATTTATCTCCACGTAACGATGCCTTGCGCTTTTGATGCTGCTTGCGATTACGGTATCGTGTGAAACACCATGTTGGTGGTACGTTACTCAACATCCGTCGTTTCGCGGCAAGAACTATGATGTATGAGACGACCATCCGGGTGTTGCTGTTTGCTGACGACTGCGCGTTGTTTGCACATAGCACAGATGAGTTTCAGCACATGACCAGCACTTGCTTCGACAGCGACCAAATTCGCGCTCACTATCAACAGCTCACACTGCCAGAAATGGAAGCATAATGTTTGCCGCGAATCCGTATTGGTGATGACGTCATGGAAACCGCTTCGAGATTTCCCCCCTATATACTGTACTTTCGTAGGATCTGCAGATGATGAGCGAGCTACGTGTCCGCGTATCCAAAGCGGTTGCTGCGTCGGGAATGTTAGAAAAGCGTGTGTGGAACAATCACTGGCTCACCGTTGGAACGGACAGCATCTGGTGCTGTCTGTTTTTCTATACGGTAGCGAAACCTAGACAATGTACCGAAAGGAAGTGGAGCAGTTTCATTAACAGTGTCTGCGACAGATTCTACGCATTGGCTTGTGCGACACAGTTACAGATACGGAAGTGTTGCGCCGCGGTGGCATGTATGCGGTGGACTGCATACTTCTGCTGCGGCAGTTGAGGTGGCTGGGGCATATTAGCCATATAGTTTCGATGAGGATACTCAAGCAGCTCATATATATGGATAACTTAGTACAGGGAAGCAGTGCGTCGGAAAACCGGTTACGTTACCAGGACATGGTCAAGACGACTTTATCACGAACTAAAGCTAATTTCAGGTGCTGGGAGTCAAAGAAATTTGATCATCGCGAATGGCGTGCCCTGATCAAGATGGCGGTTGGCCAGGTGCGGCAGAGACCACTGTTACGTGCGGAGGGGAGACGCAGTGTAAGGAAGCGACAGGCGCCGAGGGAGTCTAGAGCATCGACGTCAAGTGCATAGTGTTGTAGCACATGTAGTCGCGAGTGCCTGCCTCAAGCAAACCTGGTAAGTCATCAACGTTGGCCCGTGGAGCCAGCATCCAAAAGACGATGAGTCAACGGATTATCTAAGCATACTCGGCGCAGCGATTGGTGGGGGCGCTGCATCTGCATCCATTCGATTTACTAACCCAGGTCAAACAAGCAATGGATGTGGCACGTGTGCCGCATCGTCGTTGCAGTTGGTCTGTACGTGTTACTGCGTGTAGAGTTGCTTGCGTACCAAGAGTTGGTTGTTCATTGATATCCGCGGCGTGACTGCGCTTGATGTGAATGTTGACAAGGTGCCTATCTGAATACTAACCTGCGCCTCGATTACAATGCCTCTAGGAGACTGTGAATCGTTGCTGGGGGGACGGGGTCTACCGTGCTCGTGGCGCTGCTGGACTCAAAGAGTGGTTGCACGTACCTAATGTGGGACGAACTATGGTGCAGCCACAGTCTTGTGTACGTCTGGTACACATGATTTCCCATTTAGGCATGAATGCTGCTGCTCTGGTTTTTGTAGGAGTTGGGTCGGCTCCGTTGTTAAAATGTTACTCCCATTTATATGCCTTCCGGTATTATTTCTTCGGGTTCACACTGGATATGGGGTGTGTGGACGGAGCTGTGGGTGGTGCAGCGCAAGTCACACTTATTCCTTCTGTAAGCACAGGCGTCCTGTTGCTGTCCACGTGGATGCCACAGTGAAAGACAAGTTCGGATACGGCTGCCGCCAACCATTTACCGGTCTGGATAACTGGCGGTGCGTTCGTGTACACGCATTGTTCCGTTCTCCGCTCGCATTAAAAGCGGGCCTGTGAAAATATCAACGCATCGGTAGGCTCAACAAATGAGTTCTGTCACGGACAGATTTTTCCTCAATAGCACCGTCCTACACCCTTGCTTAAATTGAAAGCATTCCGTGTGCCGTTGACGCCGTCCTTTTCTTTTCTCCGTCTCCCACTTATAACCAGGCCGATGACTCACAGTTGGACTAGGAAATGTGGACGCAGTAGCAGGTTGGACAACTGACGCACCATCAACTCATTTAATGCCCCCAATCCCGTTTCTCCTGCTTTATTCTATCTCGCCACCATGTGTGAAGCAAACGGTTGGTCTTCAGCGGTTTAAATCGAGCGTACCATACATGTATATACCACGCACATCATGGCTCGGAGTTGCTATTACTCATGATGGGATATAGTTCTTGGATTGGCTTTTCATCCATGTTCTAGCTTGCTGCCCCACACACTGCACTGTTTGCTTCACACTTTTCTAGTCATCGCCACTTTTTATCCCTGTTGGGTGCTCAACCCAAACGGCATTCAACTCTTCCAGTCCGAAACCCGGTCCGCATTCTCGTCGGAGTGATAAGCGCTAACTTCTGTTGCAAGGTTAGACGAGACTGCTGACCAAACCGATACTAGAAAAGAAGCCACATACGATCGGATCAGTGGACGGTTGCCCACCCGGTGAAAATATATCCATTATTACTATTATTATAAAGCAGCTGTGTAGCAACCCTAAAAACGAGAAGGAACCACAGATCACGCGGACGACGCTAACGAGCAGCAGCCCTGTCTCCACTGGGTACCGATGATCCGCACCTAGGATGAATGGGGAAAGCGCTCCGTTATGGAAAGGCCAATTTTAGCAGATTCTAGATACTGTTAAAACTCACCTTAAAATGTGAAACCATATGAGACGGCACATTGCAATGCAATCCGCACCGTTTATTGCTCGTTGAATAGTGTGAGATTCGGGGAAGCAATCAATGACTCAGAAGAGAGAACCGAGATTGCCGACTACTAGACTGCGTGTTGTTGATCACCCTGGTCTCACAGAATGAGGGTCATGTCATCTAAGTTATGCTTGGTCTGCAGTCATCTTCCAGCCGACGGAATGCGCAAAGTGTGCCGAGTTCTCGTTTTATGTGGGATATAGTTAGCTGGGACGTAAGGCTGTGAAAGCCATAAGAATCTGCCTCACCGGTGCCGCCACATGTTTACATGATGGCTGGCTGATTGTGATCAGATAGTATTCTCAAAGTCTAGACATCACAGTCCTTAACAGTTGCATAGGGATTTCAGCTTAATTTGCGTCCACACGCATCTCTTTTCTTGCTGATCCTGCCCAGGGTCACCTCTAACGGTGCATGTAAGTTTAAAGAAAAATTAAGAGCCAACAGGTAAAATCTGAAGACAAAGCAGTGGAATCGAGGTAATCTTCCTTACATTGCTGGATCCAAACGTCTTCCCAATCGAATCCAAGTGTTCACTGTGTCTTCTGGGCAGCTAAGAGCCAATGTGAGCGCGTGCTCGTACACTCGAGAAATGCACTCACCACTAGCAAGGGTCGCCAATGCCTCTTTGTGCAGACTGAGCTTAACGTAGTGGTCCACGAGCCTTTCATAATCTGCGAACAAAAGGGAGAAGTTAGGAAAAGATCTCTGTTTGCCCGAAGCGCTCAGGACAGTTGTGATGCAGTAGACCCTCATCGAGAAAAGCATTACTGCAGGGAAGATGTACCAGTATGGATAACCTGAAAGTAGATACCACCGGCGGTAATAGACAGGTCTAGCAAAAGTGAGAAGAAAGAGACCAAGTAGTCGAAGTGAATCCAACCGATTTGGTCGATATGAGCAACCCAGGACGAGAATAATGTTCTCACAAGGAGAGAAAGGGTTAGTGGGGTGAAGCACAGCTAGTGATTACACAGAAAAAGCTACGCCTGTTCTATCGTCTGAGTGAACACAACAAGACTCGTTAGCTTGACTGGAACCGTGACACGATGATCAATGTACCAAGTTACAGGGTATCGTAGGACTAAGAACATTGATGGGGTCACAGTTAAGGGGGCAAAGAGGAGAGGCAGAATATAAATCTGATCCTGGTAATGAAACACATAAGTTCAAACTGCCAGTGCATACGCAACAATGGTGACTAGAATGCATGATAATGAAACAAAAATGAGAAGGCAAACAGCGAAATGTTTATCGGAAAAAAGCGAAAAGGAGCAGAAACTTAGGACGGAAGGCCGAGGCCGGAAAGAAAGGTCTGAATGAGGAAAGGATATTATGACGACCAATCTGAGACAGCACGAACTGATAAGAGCAGCTTCATTAAGCTTGCTTATGATTTACTTTCTATTCTCCCAAGATGGGAAGAAGATCAAGGGAATTCAACGGCAAGACGTTCAAAGTGTGCCAACGAGATATTCGCGGAGAAACAACAACACCCATGTCAATATTGACTTCAAAGGCAAAAATTATGCAAGCCCATGCAACCGTTTCTCCCGATCAGTGAGCGAAAAGCGTAATGAGTTAATAATGAGCAGGATATGTTGTAGACAAGTCTCAATAGGTTCAAACATTTGAACCGCGTTAGAATTGGACACTCAATCCCTGATTCACTATGGCAGCGTAGCCGGAATCGACAATGGAGCATGAACATTAGCGCGGAGCATTCCCAGTCCCCTTGTAACGTCACATTACTTTGCACGCGCCACGCACTAGAAATGATGTAACACATGTGCCCTCAAGACTGGGGTTGTTTGATTGCTATACAACTTCGATAAATCGGAGTGGATAAATCGCAGTGCTTTTACTAAGCATCATTTTCCAATTCCCGTCATAGAAAAATGTGACTCGAACGTCACATCAGAAAATAGCAATCAGAACCAGAATGAGGAAGTACCACTGACGCGTGGAATATGCACCAGCTTCTGCTCACCAACCAGTAGGAAGTGAGGGAGCATCGTTCAATTTTCAGCATAGAATGAAAAGAGGACAAAAACATCTTATACTCCCATCCGTGTACACATGATTTGCTTTAAAGGGAACGTGCTCCAATCACACGAGAAATGACTTTAGGTAAAACCGAAAGAGAGCTCATAATCGAAGACAGTACTTCACTCTAAGCGGAACATCAAAAATGAGAGCAAGCATATTGGTGAGTTAATGCTGACCCAAGTTAGTGAGGAAAAGCAAAATAGTAGGAAATATGGTCAGCAAATCAAGTCAGGACACCCATCGAAAGGTGTACTGACGATGGGGAGGATTGATGGGGAAACGAACACCGATACAGCTTAGACAAAGAAGCACTTGGAAGAGGAGCAAATTTGAACATACACTGTGAGGCAGTTATATTTTCATGGCAGAGGATAGATACAGTTGCAACATAAGCGCAACACAGTGTCTGCCATAGTTAATAGACATTCTCCCAATCGTGCCAACTGTGGACAAAAGTTGGAATAGTCAAACGCGGTACTACTCACAAACAGGTAGGTAGAGATGTAGGTTGGGTGGTGATTACAAGCGAAATTGCACATATGGGACTGAGTTCACTGTGATACGCAGTGGTTTGGGTAAAACAAAAAACTAACGGCATGCAGCCGTTATCATTTAAAACCATAGTACAGATCCGAAACAATGATTGCTACCTCCGGTAGGCAAAGTTTGAGAGGAGAGCCCACCGAGCTTTCCTCAATATTTGTGAAGATGTCGAAAAAGAGCTTGTTTCCATTGGTGTATATAGGCTGGGTGGCTCGAACGCAGTTGAAAAGGACGAAGTTCAACGGATCACATAAGTGTGTAAACAGTCGTGCACGTTAAGGTCGAGCCTATTCGCGAGAGTTTACATGGGCTACGTCAAAGTGGTTAAAACCAATCCGCTTCGTTTGTAAGATTGGATACAAAACAGTGACCATATTCGGACTCAGGAAAGCGAACAGGGCGGGGATAATTCAGCAAGCAACCAAAGAAGCCACCGAAGGACGCCAGAAAGTGGATTAGACGACCCAAAGCCCCAATCACGTGCACGTGAAATGTTGTGGGAGGACAGGCTGACACTAGTGAATAAAAGTAGTGAAGCGCTATCCAGTGGGGAATGAAGCCGGCGACATACCTCTCGTCAACTCCGCTACAAAAACCAATTCTTCATTATTGGCGTGATTGTCGATTAGTTCATACAGAAGTGGTACGATATTCGGGAGAACTTTCTGGAATGAAAAGGCGTTGATAAACAAAATGATTGTGTAAAATTCGGTACGGTCATCTTGCGTCGTCTACAATATCATGTCAGAAAAGCGCCAACTTACTAGAAGTTGAGATAGGAGAAATGAAAGTAAAGCGAGAAGACTAGAACGATCTGATTTAATGCAGTATAGATCAGTTCAGTTGTTGAACTAGGATCAGAGCCTGGAAGGGCAGTATAATTCGCGCCACCATGGAAACAAGATTAATATGGAGCAAATGATGGGAAAATACGAGGAAATCTGCAAAAGAGCATGGTACAACCTTTTTCAAGTTGTACAAAAAATTAACAGTAAAATGCTGGGGGTCAAGTGCAAGAACGGCGATAACTTCTAAACTGAACCATGCTGGATAAGAGTCCCAAACGCTGTGGTGACCAATCTCAGTGGGCCTCTGCCTGGAAAATGGTGAGCACAAGCTCATCTAAGTCGCTGAGCAATTTTATCACACGTTTCTACTATCATACAGGTTAGCTACCACAGCTTCCTTCCAAACAAGCGTAGACAAAGCGAAGAACGTGACCAGATAAACGCGGGCAGCATAGGCTCAGGAGATAGTTTATCGGAGCACCAGAGGCGTCATTGTGTGTTAGGTGGTTTCACCCGACATAGCCAATGTGGTGCGGGCACAGGTAGTCAAAGATGAGCAGTCTCTCAAGGGTTTTGGAAAGTTGTGGCTACCTCTCTGATCCACACAGTAATGGCGGCCGTACACAGCGCTGAGCGCCCTCTTATAAGTTGAAATCTCACCGGAGATCTTCCGGACGTAAAAAAGGAGGCGAGATTAATGGATGCGCACAATAACCTTCTTGATGATTTAATCACCGGAATTCGAACACTACTCAGATGTCTGGTAAATCGATACCTACTATGGCCGCGGAGAGCAGTAACACTTAGAACTCTGTAAAACACGTGCCGAAGCGCACAAGGCGCCAAGTGATCGAATTAATTAGCGTTTGTAAACAGTGTAGACTCGACCTCAGGAAAATGATGCCGTTAGGATAAATTCACTGGTCGATTTAGTGGTCGAAGTTCTGCTTCAGAGTTAGCAGAAACGAGAGCAGTTCGCGTTTCATCGAATACAAAGCTGTAAAAAAAGGTAGTGATGGCGTGGTATCGATTACTCCAGTTACTGTGAAGAAACCAAGCAGCAATTTCTCGCAGACGCTCACTCAGATAAGAGCAACCGATCACACAACATATGGATGCGAGAGACAAGCCAGGCAATCAATTGTAAATAAAAAATAAATGGAGATATTTCCCATCGAGTGGAAAATGTCCTCTTTTGTGAAGCGGTTATCAGTACAGCGAGTTTCAATCAGAATTTCATCTATAAACTTTGGATTCAACACAGATCGGAAATGAATTGATTTGTGGAATTTGTAATCAGTAACTGATTGTCAAGCTTTTGGCCGCATCTCATGACTGCAGTTGTAAATTATTGATTTTCGAAACGTTTGAAAGAAGTTTTTACACGAGATCTGAATATACACAGGCTATCGCTGTTCTTTAATTGCGACGGTTGTTTATTGTGCAAATGGGCGTACTTAATCAGGCAGAAATTTAGGCGAATATTTTGTTTTTTCTGCTGTAAGGAAAGTAGACATTACCAATTAGGAGTGGGGTAGATTGAGCTATTTTCGAAGCACACTTAATGGATTCGGCCATTAGATGCACCAGGTACAGTCTATTTTTCGAAAGTACCTCTGAATTGTTGATCTTGGTTGCTATCAGTGGAAGTAGCTGAGCAATGCACATCGACGTATTCGGAGCAGCTGCTGTGTGGATGGATTGTGACACGCGATTTCAACTGGGAGGTTAACATAGGTAAATTCGGTCCTTGGAACAGTATTGAAACAAAGAGGTGTTGCCCGCTCGAAGCGTTTCCCCCTACGACCGGTTTCGTAATTGGTTGCATACTCCAACCAAAAATAACGGAACCGCGACTCGAAAAGATGAATATCAACGGTACGCCGACTGACACATTGCTGATACGTGACCGTCACCAGTCCAGCGTAGGCTATGGGGGGTTACTGTGAGGCAGATTCGAACTGGCCACACGCTGGACGCAGAGGCAACCGACAGAAGGCCTTATCCCAGTAGCAATAAACAGTAACTGTTTCATACACGGTCCCAATGCAACAGGATGTGCAAACTGACAGCTGTGACAAGCGTTGTTTACGGTTCAGTGGCGTAGGAGTAAAAACGCCATCCAGTGATCTTCAAGTCCATGGATAGGGTGATAAATCTGCTGTCTCCGCCTGAAGAATGGAAACAAATTCGGAACCGGTCGTGGAGTGCAGTGTTGCGGAAGTACGACATAACATGCTTATATGTAACAAACCGACTTGCAGGTCAAACGCGTTCTCACATTTTTGCTGTGGAAACTGCTTGTCTCAGATTTTGTGCGAAGATGGATATAAAAATAAATGAATGAATGATATAAGAATGAACTTCACCAACAAATCTTCCGATGTAAGACCGTGCCTTACACACATGTGGGATCATATGGGTCAAAAGTCGTTAGTAAAGCAAAGAAAACGGCTACCATTTCGTACGAGTCTTGGTTCCGTGGGGCATTAATTCAGACTAAGTGTGCAAAATGTGCAAAATGGTCACTAATAAAAATGCAAAACGGGAAATCCGTAACCTACTGAAATATGGTCGGCCAGGATACAAGAAATAAGATTTAGTAAAGTACATGGATGTGGGAAATATATCAAGCATTCACCAACTGAACATAGGCTAATGAAGAGGAATCATTTCAAAAGAAAAAGTGAGAAATAGCGAATAGAGATAACAAAGGGGCAGATGAGACCCAGATTTGATTGAGTTCAGTGATTCCAACTTTATACTCGCTGATCAGCACTGACTTCTAGTAGGTCATCAGCCGATTCATAACTTCCAGTGGATAGCAAAAGATGACAAGACAGAGGAGGCCTGTGTTGCAACTGACAGGTCATATGAAGTCTCGTGTGATCGCCCGACACAGTAAAAGATTGACCTCCACCAGCAGTGAAGAGGTGACGATGTCAGCTAAGGTGAGGATAGAAGTACCCTGAACATACGATGATAGTGGCTTGTAGGCCAAGTGAAACGAGATGAAACCACAGTTGGGCAATTGGCCAATCAAAGGTCTTCATGACACTAGTCGACAGAATGAACAGTTGGCACTAATTGCGTGGGGAAATAATTAGTTAAGAAACGGGAATCCTTTTGCCGGTGAGGTGCAAGTGAACAGCGAACAAGGGGAACTACAATATACTAATCCGCTGAAAACGAAGAATAAGTTAGGAGCAATGACAGAGAGAATTGATAACTCGGAGACGCAAACAAAGGGAATATAGTGAAAGGACGAGCATTGGCGAATCGATGGGATTACTTATCCGATTCAACACAAGTCGATGGGACAATCTCTTATGACCAAACTTCCAAGAAAAAAGCAGTAAGTTTCCAAACCATTGAATAGTTGCTATCTTTAAATGAAGCCGGAAGTAGAGCATCAGAGCCAAGTGCTTTAAAACGCCTCGGTACAGTTCAGTTGATCAACTATGGTCTGAACACTGAAGCGCGGTGGATCCACTTGCCACGACTCACATCGCAAGAATAACAATAAACAAGAACGGCAAGGTAGGGACCGATCTTTGAATGACCCTGGGTGGAGATCAACAAAGTAGTTCAGAAATTTGATTAACTGAGAAGCTGTACAAGCGCCTGTGGCACAGAAGTTCAGTTCAGTTGCTCAACTAAGATCCGAGCACGGAAGTGCGGTGGATCCAGTTGCCACTACTCAGATAGCAAGAATAGCAATAAATAACACCGGTAGGACAGTAGGGTTGAGTGCAAAGAGAATGTAGAGAAAATGAAAACAAGAAGGAAATGCGTCAGACTAATGAGGACGGAACGAAAGTTAACAATCAGATGCAAGTCGAAGGTAAGAACGCCACTGACCGCGCCATGTCTGATACGGTGTCCAATCATTTGTGTGGACCATCCCGTAGCCCCATCAACGAAGACGGCATGCACCAGTCTGATAAAGTATCTCAGTCAGTTGCTTCATGCCTCTATACCCCATCGTGGACTGGCCACCTCACGGTCTCGCCAACTCGGTGCAGCGACGGCATATAATGCATCCCGAGGAAGCCAGTCGACGGGCATATGGTGGACATGGTCCAGCCAATGTAGGCGATTAAGATTCAGCAAACACTAGAGTGAGACACCAGAAGACTTCTTACTAAAAACCAGCTGGTGGACCTCAGCATTTCTCCCCCGTTGTTCCCATCAAACGTGAGGAATAATTCGCCAGTAACAGTGGTCAAATGACCATGCGTTTAATGTCTTCACTACGAACTGGCCAAGTCTCTGACCCATACAGTAACACTGACCTTATCGCAGCGCAGGTGGAGATCCTTCCAGGTTTCCTAGCGCGCGTATCAAAGGAAGCAGATCGGGCTGGCGGCCAGTAAGACTGTGAGTCAAAATATTTTGCCCATCGCTCCAACGTCGTTGAAGAAGGGGCCATACACCGTGTGAGCAATGCTGAGGTGCGCCAGTTGGCTTTCGGCAAGAAATCTTCTTGTGCCTCACTCTAGTGCTTGCTGAATCTAAATCGCTTATGTTGGTTAGGCTATGTTCTCCGTATGCACGCTCACCGGCATCCTCAAGGTGCATTATACGCCGTGGCTGTAACAAGCTGGGCGAAAGCGTGATGTGGCCAGTCTATGACGTGGCATAGAGGCATGAGGAAATTGAGTGAGAGACTTGGTCAGGCTGCATGAGGGCTTCGAGATGGTCCACACCACTGGTTGGGAACCGCATCAGACATGGTGCAGTCACTCAGTTAGTGGCGTAGCTGCATTCAGTTCCTTGCATCTGGTAGTTAAGCTTCGTTCCTTTCTCATTAGTTTAACGCAATTCCTTCTTCCCTCCATTTTCCTCACATTTAAGCCCACTATCTTGAAGTTGTTATTTTATTGTTACTCCTGTGAGATGAAACATGACAACTGGATCCACCGTACTTCGGTGCTCGGATTATAGTTGTTCAACTAAACAGATGAGCCGAACACTTCGCAGATTGTTTTGCTTATACTACATCGGATACCCTCGGTGACTCAGATAAAATTGAAAAGTTGTTTGAAAATACCAGAGGTTAGCGAGTTCCATACCTAGACTATGACTGGCATCGATCGAGCCTAAGTGACGTCTATCTATCAGCGTTAAGGAGACAGCAGAGATCCAGCTCTTCGGAGGGTGACTAACTCACCAACTGTCGATACTGGCAGAAACTAAGGCATCTTTGATGTGTGCCCATTGTGAACCAAATCATGGTCAGAAGCTGAGCCAAGCAGTGTTGACGATGAGGTTTAATAACTAGTTAAGATCACAGGGCTTGGTAAATCCGTAACGCAGTGTGAACGCCTGGACGATCCTGTGAAACGTATGTAAATATTAGCACCGGAGTCCAGACAAAGTGACCAGTGCAATCGGCAGTCGGTAACGCTTCCGCACCATCTGTAAACTGCTGGGTGGTCGAGTTGGGACTATTGTTGCGTTTGAGACGGGTGCTAGGTAGCAATCTGTCTCTTCGAGTGTCAAAAATAGTGTCCGGAAGAAACCAGTGATGATCAGAGCAAATGGTCAGCAGACCATCTGATCGACTGTGACCCAGGCCAAAACTAACAAAAAGGTGGTGATCGATTGGCGGCAGACAACCCACTCTTGTGTTAAAATCGCTGGAGAAACACAGGCCATGCAGTTGTTACTAAGAGTAAAAGTTGATTGCATCCTGGATGCAGTTTGTAGGAGCGTAGGCGGACGACAAACAAGGCCCACTTAAAGTCCCGACGATTTCTCATGTTATGTGAATCGCGTAGTTCGAATGCGCATAGCCAACTGTCCACCAGAATTCAGTCTAGCAGAGCGCTCAGTCCTACCACTCACTGCAACCACGACGCCATGCTGACAGGACCGACAACTTCCTGGTCCCCGGAAAGAAGCAACTGATATTTGACGTCAGGTTTTGGCGATGTCATTCTGATGAAGACGCTAGAATGTTGCAACCTGGTTCCCGAAAGGCAGTGGATGTCTACCAAAAGCGTCCTAAGCATATGTATCATACATGCTTGCCACCTGATCGGGATCAGAGTGAGAACATTGAAAACTGCCGGACAAAGAACCAGGTGGAAGAAAAACTGAGGCTTAGGTGGATTGTGAGAAGGCTGTGATCGCCAGAGAGGACATAAAGGCAACTGTGATCTTAAAACTGAATGTGGGGCGAACTGCGAGTGGAAAATGAGCACTTGAATCAATAGAGCCAAAGATAGAGAGAGCGAAGACGGTACCACTCGGTTGCCCAGACCGAAGCAGAGTTGCCTTAAGGGGGACATACCCGAAGTCATTGAGCAAGTACCTAACCTACAAGGTAACATGGTGATATGAGGGTCTCGTAACCCAGTGCATGACCGGTGACCAAACAAATGGCTCATGCGCATTCTGGTCCGCAAAAAAAAGAAAGAGGCAAGAAACAGTCACTTTACTTAGTGACGACTTAAGGTCGTAACAACACAGTACTGTCACTGACTACTGTGGCTTTCGTATGGAGACCGTTCGCCAGGCGAAAACTTGCCACATCATCAAATACTGCCGTTGTTTGTCCCCAGCAGCTTATTCGACACGCCTAGATCTGCTTATCTCACAGCTGACCGCTAAAGGCGGTCACTCGCCTATCCACGACCAGGAGACGCGCTCGGTGGCATCCAGAGGTGATCGTTCCTGAGGCCTGGGCATTGAACGATATCGCAGTTGAGGAAGTACGCGAGCTGAAATGAGGTAAAATCAGAAATCAAACTCGAGAGAACGAAACATATTTGGGGCTATGAAGGAAAGACGTCTCAGTCAAACGTGTTCGTTATGTTCGAGACTTTAGTATGCTTGACGAGAGCCTTAGTACAAGGACTTTCATTCCAGCTTCGTCAAGTAATCGTTGGATGTTCCCTTCGTACTCGGTGCATGCTGTTGTGAATGAAGCACAGTGCAATAGCAAGTGTGCTTCTGTAATACGCGGATAACGTGTGTGGCGCTCACCGATATGTAGGCACTCGGTTCTGTAAGCACACCCAAAGTACAAACGCAAGAGTAGCCGGATGGATTAACCACCAAATGCTTATTGGGGTTTCCAGGCCAGAGGAGTAGCAACTCAGGTGACACATGCAGATGTCCATTCAATTTTGGGAATGTCGCACCTTTAAAGTGGGGGCAGTATAAAACGCTAAAAATGCACATATTTGGGCCTTTTTTGACTTGGCATGAACGGCGTGGGGACCAAAAGCGATGAGTGAAGGACTGTTCAATCACACGTGTGATAAAATTTGGTGAGGGAACCCGAGCTGTAACCGAATTGATCATGGTCAGGTATACAGCGGAGCCCAGTTCACTGCGGGGTTCGCTAAGAATTCTTGTGAGTGCAGCTATCGACAATGTCATCTGACCTGTCAGGACGCACAGACAGTGACAGTTTGTATAAATAATAGGACAGAATTGTCGATGACCTGCGATAGATTTAATTTCCTTGGTTATTGACGCAAAAACCGCAGAAAAAGTTCCGTAAGTTGACCACACACATAATATATATATATATATATATATATATATATATATATAGATATATATATATATATATATATATATATATATATATATGGTGCATATATCGTGGCATCGGAATCATGGCGAAATAAGGAAACAGGATAGTAATGGGAAAAAGAACCCCTTTTTGTCTAGTTGTCCACTCAAGGGACTGGTAAAATATGGAGGACTAATCTAGTGTGTTAATCAACATATTGAAGTCCTACACAAAAACAGCGTAGCTTACTTTCTTGTTGAAGGCAGTGCAGCACAAAATTTAACTTCTCAGACATTCTATTTTGTGTACATAGGATGAGCTCTTTCATAATGACAAACAGTTAAATTACACAGTATTATAAATCAAAACTCACTGTTTTCCCCCAAGTTAAATCGTTTGAAAAAATTCAGCCTTATCTTAAATGTTGTTAGTGGAGCGCTTTCAACATAGGTTACACTACTCAGCATGTTTGAACATAATTCCACAGCAAATGACTTTAGTTTCATTAAAAGATGCCTGACTAAATCCTTTCTTTGGAATTTCGATGGTCTTCATGGCATTTTCAATCAGTTCTCTTTATTTGTAAAGTGTTTCTTGTTTGGATATATTTGGGTGTTGCTCTTCCCAACACTGGCACACCACATGACCTCGGTTTCGTCTTGGTTTAGACTCGCCAGGTGGAGATAGCTTGAGCTGGGGTGGAACTCAGAGCTTAGTAGCTCATGGCTGACGCCTTGAACACTATGCTACTGAGATCCGCGAGCAACGCCTGGCACAGCGGAAAGTAATTCAAGTTAAATTTGGAAGCACGCTGTGTGGTTGGGTTGCGACTCGCAACCTCTATTGTGACCTCGGCTCACTTTGAGGTAAACCTCGGTCATTCCGATCTCGAGGACCGTATCCTGATTGGATATGTTTCTTGTTTGTTTCCGAAAGGATGATAATCTGGGTCTGGTCCAGTGTAGGTTATCGATACCATAGATTTCAACAAACCCTTGGAAATATATTCCCTTGAATTCTTGATTTGGGAGTTGCGATGTGTGGTAAAGCGGCAGCATCTTGCTCGAGAGTGAACGAAATTAGATTTTCCGAAGAACTTCTGCAATATATATGGTTGAACTTTGTGCCACGCGAAACTTATCCAAAGCACAGCATCCAAGGCATTAACAGACGATACAGACGAAGTTCTTGCTGCGTGCAGATGATTGGCATGCATTTTTTCTATGACCTATTGCATGAGCTGGGCTCTGTAGTGAGTTTGTAGCATTTTGTTGGTTCTTTGGGGACTCGATGTACGAGATAAACATCCATGCGCGCAAACGCTGAGGGACGGAACAAAAATGTAGACGCACATACACAGACAGGGAACGTGCTGCATCGTTAAACGTCTGCGGAGTCGTAAAGTGGGTCAGGAGAATGCAGCACATTGCAAAAGTACGCTACATACATAGCATTATTTTAACAAACAAGTTGTTCGTCGGTCATTGCAAAATAAACCTCCACATACATGTTAAGTTATAGAGCATGAATTAATATTGATCGTTGTTGCCTAAGTGGTCAACCTACAACTCAAGGTGGTCCATATAGAGGTCTGGTTCCATAGGATTTACGTGGTGAACGTTCAAGTTATGAAAAAACGGTCAACTTATAGAGGTGATCAACTTTGGATGTCTTACTATAAGTTCAATCCATGATCACCGTTATCGAAGGAGATAGCTTAATCTAGGAGGGATTATTCAGATAATGGCAAAGCTAAATAGCTTTAAGAAGAATATGCACCTGCAAATGAGCTATAGTTCGAAGGCGGCGTGTCATGACTGGTTTTTTGAACCGGTGAGTTAAGGTATAAAATTTTCGGGACATACCAGAGAATCTGGTTGAGATAGAAGAGTCCGAAATTCGTGCTGGACCGTCTCCAACCGGGCCTGATCGTCAGCAGACACTCTCTTCGACAGACGATCTCTTAAAAAGCCTATTTCGTTCAAAAGTAATTCGGACATCCAAAGTGTTAACAAAGCTATCTGACCCGAAACTGCAGAATCAGGGAGAGCTGTTCCTCCAAGGGAAGGAGCATGAAGAGCTCCACCGTCGGATGCTGGGGAGGGTTTACGCGAATACAAACATTCCAATTTGGTGGAGACTAAAGCTTTCAGTGGGCCACACGTGGCCTCAAATTCTAAAGCGGGCCCTGCCGAAGCAAAAGGGTATGACTTGGCCACGTCTTCGATGAGAGCGTCCATGAGATCGTGGTCGTCTCGGACGGCCAATCCCGTGGAGATCAGAGGCGAGTCGGAACGAGGAGCATGCTGTAGCAGTGACAATCGGCTGAAACGCAGAGCCACTTCCTCGAACGGCGCAGATGTTTTGGCGAATAATTTCGCCGAATTCATAAAACTACAAAAAGGAGAAGAGCGGACAAGCACATAAGCATGTACCGAACACTAGGCCAAGTAGAGGACAACAGGTGACAGGAAATAGCACAATAACAAAGAGAGGGTTGATAGCAGATACCTCCAAGAACTCAACCTTCAATCATATCCGACAATGTTTCAACCATGGGCAGCCATAAGGGAAGAAAATCCAACATGAGAAATGTACATCTCATTCAAAGACGCGTGAAGTCCTCGTGCTTAAGACATGCTATATTAAACAGCTCGGTATTCCGCTGCCGGTTGTAACAGACGATGGAGGATGTTCCACAGTGCACAAACTAGATATGTATCACCTAAACAGACGAGTCTTTCCACGTGAAAGAACCGAGTTCAACGGTCGCTATGAGATGTCGGTATGATGTCGAGTCCATTGTGAACTTTCGGATGACTTTTTCAAGATCAGACTGGTGGGTGTATGCACCCACCAGCATCTGAAAAAGCATTGTACAGTTGTGCCGTTCTATTAGGATACACAGACATGACCTGCATGAGATTGTTCGGGAGGCAGAAACCGAGGTAAGCGGAAAGCGGAAATGTAGTGTCCATAGATATGAGACAGAAACATCATGCGTATATACAGAGAACCGCCTACATTGAATATGGAAAGAATGCTCCACGTGGAACAGAAAAATACGACAAAGTAAATTAGTAAGAGGGTTTCGCAGTAGTCAAGACTCAGCCAACACATCATAATAGGTCCCGACAACGGGCAATTGCCCAGGCTGGTTTATAATGCCTTCAGATGGCTGGTGATAAGGGAATTCATAGCTCTGAGTCCAATCCTGTCCTGTCCTGTTATTAGGAGGAGTTATGCACGAAAGCAGGTGCAACTCATCGGAGATGGCGAAGTGCCTTCTGGGACCCTTTTTACATATTCTTAGATGCTCAAATCATGATTCCAAAGATAACGTTATCCGCGTAACACTAGGTAACAGATACTTGGCAGTCAATGACGTACCAGGGAAAGATTTAGTCCTATATAATTTTGCATGGTATTTTTTTGCTGCATACTAGTCGGCTGGTAGCTTACCGGAACGATGCCTATCCGTTAGCGGTAGCTCAGCTGGCTTGCACCTAGTGCATTTTTCTTTTCATTTTTCTATGTATTGAGGCACAATAGCTGAGGTGTTTCCCACCGCTAGCTAACGTGTATAATGATGACAGGGAAAGATGAGGACAAATAAGGGTAACTTGCCGTTAGGGGCTTTTCCGAGGAGTATCGGTTGTTTGATTGGGTCGAAAGATAGAAAAGCTAACTGATATGCTTCAATTCTTCACACAGAGTAATTGCCCGAGCAACGTATAATACAACAATATAGTTGTCGACCGAATAAGAGGAATTGTGCTTCCGATGACCGATCGCGTCGCCTACACGGCGGTCACGTGCACTCCAGCCTGGAAGACGAAGCCAACCGACGGCACCGAGTTCGGTCGTCGGTGACTTCATCTCCCGCCGCCAACATCGGGCCTTGCACCACCCTACACCTGGCAAACAAAACAAAGCTATCCTCGGTAAGCGGTGACCGGGCATACGTAGTATGTGTCCAAGTTATTGCAACTTATTCAGCGCTATCTGTTGTTCTAAGGAAATAGTCTGATTATCACTGCCTAGTACTCGCCTACGCACATCACCGTTCTGGACACACCGATGCCATCCGACACCAGAAACGCTTCTCAGGCAACGATGTTCAAAGACTTGAAGGTGCCTGTGATCGATGGGATCAAGCCTCACACTACCATAGAGTAGGACGGCCGTCACTGTGCCTTTGTAAACGCGGCCTTTCATGCCGAGGGAAACACCCCTCTGACGCCACAGATGTCGCAGACGCTAGAAGGCAGTTCTGGCTTTTGCAATACGTGAACTGACTTCAGTGTTTATATGCTCATCGTTGCTGATGCAGCTGCCAAGGTAAGTGAATTGACCAACTACCCAGTGACCGTGAGAATGTGAAGTTTTGAAGGGTCCCACAGTCTGTCTAGCGCAGTTTCGGATGCGTGGTGGCTGAAAGAGTGAGTTCGTTTGTAAGGACTTTAGCTGAGAGTATTGGTTCTTGAAGTAACTGCCGTGTGTCTGGATTGCGATATGTAATCTCAATGGAAGTTATGAATTGCTTTGAAGCAGGCCTCTGCCATTTCGATCACTGAGACTGCATCTCACAACGCAGCAGTGTTGGGAGAGCAGCTGCAACAGTATCCAGTTTATTTGAAAATTGAGGCAGTATGGGCTGTATAAGGATTCCAATTACTAATAAAAAGGTAAACACAGCGTGTCCGTCAGGGGACGGTTTGAGAAACAAACGCATTCTCTGTGACTGTCGTTGGAATGCGCTCACTAGTAAAACGGTGATAGTAGCGTCTACCAGATTGGAGCATGATGGAGGTTCACAATGAAGTCATGCATAGCCGGAAGAGGACACAAAATGGGATATTGGCTAAAGTTTCGCGTCGGAACAGCCAGTGGAAACAATGTTAAGCGCTTACTCTCCCTTCTCAAAACAATATTCCGCCTCACGCGTGTTGACGACATCCAACTGAGATTCTGTCTGAAACAGAGAGTGCAAAAGTAACCCTTGAGCGGTGTAAGTTAAGACTCACAAGTAATATAAAAAAGAAAACGTTTAAAAAGTAATCACCAGTTAATAGGACCCGTCGTCGCCAACGTGAAGAAGAGCAGAGAGGGGTGATCTAGGTGCCAGAAGAAAGCAATCAAACACTGTAAAATGGGGAATGAAATTGCGTCACGGAAACATAAGGAATAAAGCGCTTAACTGAGGTCGGAAAAAGGTGTCAACATAAATAGTACTTTAGTAGCTCCTCGTTGTTGTGGTACAATAAAAAATGTGTGAATGTAGTGATGCAAAAAAGCAGAAGAAAAGTGGACCTAGTAACGGACTTAAGCATTTAAAATCAAAGAGCTCACACGATGCCAATACCGAGTGTCACCACGGAAGGCTAGCGATCGTGTGCAGAAGAAGAGGTATCATCGAGACAGTTCCACGGCTGCTTTCACAAAGGTGACGTATGGATGAAGGTACGCAGCGCTTTTGACGGCATCTTTGCTCAGATGAAAGACATCGGCAATGCGTCGGTACCAATGCTTCGCTGCTAAGTGACCACAAGCAGTTGAGTGTAGGTTGGATATATCGAAACGTCGCCGGCATCTGCGGGGATTCGAATAGATGACCCTTGGATTAGAGGACAGGCGCCTTATCCTTTCGGACATCGGTCGAACCAGATGAACAAAACTAGGCCCATTTACCCAGTCGTGTTCGTTAGTCTAACGAATTAAAGCAAGCAACACGGGTCAGGAATCGCATGTGCACTTTAACAGTGCAAAAGAGGCTGATACCACGCAACACGAGCAATAACTAGCAGCCAACGATCGTTACAGAGTTGAATGGGTCTGAGAAGTCTAGACAAGTTTCTAAAGCCCACAAGGTGGTCAGACGATGATCAATTCAAAGGACGTATACGATCAAGCCATAAGACTGCCTTGAGTTGGTGGGAGGCATGTGCGGTAGAAAGCGGGGGTGAGATTCGTCTTCTCACAGTGCACTAAGATGCAGATGACCGGCGGGGAGCGACCACTTCTGTGTCAAGATTCGCTGTGGGTCACAGGAAAAGGCTATGAAACCCAGCACAAGTAGGCCGTACGATGAGTTCCTGCAGGGCTCCCAAACAATCTCATGACATGGAGTTTTACATCTGTACCACTACTGCATGCACCTGTGAGAGTTGATAGAAGCAAAACTGTGGGGAGCGCACAGGAGCATGTCGTGGCTGTAGGCGAGCACTGTGACTTGTTCGTATTAACCAGTAGCGGTATACGAAAGTGCTCAGGACTATTTTACCTGTAGGCACGCGATACTCTCCGTGTCCATCAGCCTCGCCTGCACGAAGACCGCTCCTTTGAAAAGAATCGAAGTGTGCTTCGGAACTTTTAGCAATTGGGATCCGTAGGGTGCAAAACACCTTATCACCCCCCAGAATTATGCTCATTCGTGTCTCATAGCTTTAAAACATGAAGATGAATTGTCGACCAGTAAACCCTTGGAAATAAGAGTTACCAGGCCTCCCTGAACATAGTTAACAAACTGTAGGAGTGTGGTAGTAATATGACACTAGCATCGACCTGATGTACCAATAACTTGTTGAATCAGTAGAATGCGCCCGAGAATCGACTATTAATTTCCCGAGGGGAGACATTCTCGTCGTTGCTCGTTTTTGTCCCCACCTAAACTCTTCCTAAGATGGGAATGCGGCGCTGAATGCTTGGCGAGTGAAGCCATGTTCACTAGGCCAATATGCTACGTTATCAGCGCTTCGTACAGTGGTCAGAGACTGTGTCGCGACTCAAACACATAGGAAGTGTTTCAGATCATAAGGAATCCCACCTACTAGATCAAGCAAAAACTGTGGAGCCAAGTGCCCTAGTGGTTAAGGCATCAGATCACAATCATTAAATCCGGAGTTCTACGCCCAGCTCCTGTTAGCATCAACGAAGAAAGTATATAAGTATATATAAGTATATAAGAGTACAGTGTTCGGAGTGAACACCTCAAATGAGGCCCCAGTGAAAAGACTGTCCGGCCGTGCTGCAAAAAAGACACACCGGGAAATTTTAAGCAAATTAATGATTAAGTGCTCTCGTATGTTGGGTGGCGTTTCTCTATTTACGGTAGAGTTTTGTCAAAGTAAACCGGCGCATAATCAGTGCGATATGTTACTCAAACGTGAGTGAAAATTACAGTGTAGAGAAATCAGAGGGCAAGAACTGCCAAGCATAATTAGCCTCGCGTATGTCTACGTGTGGCAAATCCAAGTGCCGCCCTATTCTATAGAAGTTATGGATACTGATCGACCCATTCATGCTGGAAGCGAACACAACGAGAGATCATAAAGTCCTGTGGTCACATCGTACGTCACAGATGACAGTAACTGCTGCTCTTGGTAACCCTAGAAGACAATTCCGTTTCATACGGGAAAAGGGTAGCGTGTGATCTGGTATTAGCGAAACTATATGCGACGAGAGTGGACAGGCTGTCAAAAGGTTTAAAGTATTGGGGTCAGCAATTGGAAGAGCAATTTAATCGGCCAGAGCAATCAACTGCCTGACCGACCAATGGTCGCCCTACTCCATGTGGCGTCTCTTTGGATCTGCTCTATTGTCCAGAATTCGAAAGTGACATAACTCCTGAAATTGTATAACACACAGGATCCGATAGGCTTCCTCCAGCCCCCTTCAAATTCGAGGGAGCTGTTCTCGTCTATGATAGACACGATCTATCAGCAAAACTTTGGGAAAAGGAAACTGCGTCAAGCGACGGGAGCAGCTCCGGTACTCTTCTGATCTTCAAAGCGTATCACGTTTGAAATGTAGCAGTCATATAAATATCAGTATGATCCCTATCGCCTCTAAGTTATTTGTCAATTATACTGCACAAATAAACTGCCGCCCGTGAAAGTCAGATTCGTGAACAGCAAGCTGGATTTCATAAAAGTCAAGGCTGCATTGACCAAACCATCAATTTACATCAACTGTTGTGACATCGTCACTTGCATCGCAGACTCAGAGTAGTTATGTCCATGGACATCGAGGGCGCCTTCGATCCGGTGGATCGATTTGCCCTTTGGGACTGTCTGTTCAAAAAGATGTATCTGAGAATTAGGTTAATGCACAAGAATAATCTACAGGCTTAGCTCAGGCAGTGAGGACTTATAGTAAGTTGTCGCAACATTTAAGCATCTACAGCGGTGTGAGGTAAGGATTCCCGCTGACATCTTTCCTTGTTAACCGCAAATGATGAAGTTACGAAAAATGTTTTCACTGTACACGACTTATATGTGGAGCTGCTCCCAGATGATTGAGTGATAGACTTGAAGTATGCCGACAATATGGCGATAGCTCACAGACGTGGCAAGCAGAACTGGACAGATTAGCAGTGGCTCCGCCGGCCTTTTCACTAGACATAGAGACAGTAGTCATGCCGAGACAAGCGACAGCAGTTTCGGGGAACTACACACCTGTAATAACGTATTAATCTGTTTCGCAGTTCCTTTCATTTTGTGGTCAATGACCGATCTCTCCAACAGTTATCATTCAGTCACGCTTCACAGTGTCAGTGCAGCGCTTGATGAGTAGTAACGGATAATGGTTTAAGTGCAGCGTGTCGAGCAGCAGTCCCTTCGCTGTCACAATATGCGTTTGGACTGAAAAGTTAGTGTGGGATGTATGGAGCAAAACCAGAACTAGACAGTATCTGTAACGTGTCGGCGAATTCTAAAACGGCAGGTAATGATCGGTATAGGTTACCTTTAAAAAGACCGAATTTTCCAGTGAATCATGCGGTCAATGTGTGAGGCAATTGCTGTGTTCAGCTGGTGAAAAAAAGACAGCAGTAGTACGCTGGTACACAGTGCCGACGCTTCGCTGTCACGCATGGGTTAAACATACCGCGGGGTCTCTCGCACCTAGGCGGATTCGGAGTACAAGGCAAAGGGTAATCCTTTCGGCCACCGGCCGATAGCTAGTGGAACGTGCCATGATTAACAGCGTATCAACAACATTGCGTTCGATGATGCTAGTGCATAATCAATTATACGCCTGAATACACTTGTTAACAGTGGAGCCAATAGGTCATCAATCATCTTGTAGATGATGGCGCTCTCTCGCGATTTGTATCTTCTGACATTCGTGTATTAAACTGAATTGAACTGTCTCCATGACCATAAAGTAACTTCACATGGGGTGTGGGCGGGTGTCAACGCAGTTACGGTTCAGAATCGCATGCCTACAGCCTACACTAAATTTGTGTGTGTGTGTGGGGGGGTGAGGTTAGTAGTGGTGCAGTACAACCCCCGCAGTCAAGTCAAGCGCTGTCGGCGGAACGATGGAAACAGATTACACAGATAATGAGGATGTTCGTTGACGGATTTTCAAGTCTGACACACGCAACCCAAAGTACCCGCTTGTCGAGCGGAGCTAAGGAGACATCTTCCATTGGACACTTTACTCGGCTTCGGGAAGTGTGGTAAAGTGGTGTTTGATGTACAGAAAATCACCACAAGACAGAACGAGCAGATGAGCAGTAAGCTACCCTTAAATTGAGAAAAGTCACCATAATGGCTCGTATGTGCGTTTGTCACTGCTACAATACCTGGTGGAATGTAAACGCGCGTTAAAGGAACCTTCTACGAGGGCGCAAGCCAAGGTATGAATCCTACAATTAAGTTGGCACTCAGGTTGGGCTAATAAAGAATTAAGCAGGGTATACTGTTGACTAACGTCAAACCAGAGCGTGGCGGTCCGAAAAAGCGATCAAAGGCACATCTTCAGTCCCACACGGTGCTGCACAGAGTGGATGCAGAAGTTACTGATAAGTGCATCGGAAACGATGGAGGAGGATATCTGGGTTCAGGTACCTTGGTTTATTTCAAAAACGTGAGCTCACATGGAATGAGAGGGGGACGATAGCAAGGCTCCGTTCAACCTCAGATGATTCAGTGAACGATAGCGCCAAAAAATACTTGCCGAGATGCTGTC